TTTTCTTCATTTATTATAATATAAAAAAAAACTTCTTTTTGGGTGTACCCCACTTGAAAAATAAGGAAAATTTGCATGGTACTGTTTAAGTCTTACTTGAATGTCTTTTTTTTTTAAAAATATATATATGGTTAAATATGAACACTTGTAATGTTTTGAGTGAAAGAGAAATTAAAGCTCCACCCCAAAACGATAGCTTTTGAAGTTTGAGTTAAGAAATAAAGAAAAAGATTATATTTTTACATGTATTAAGAGGTGGTTTTAATGAGGAGAAAATATATTCATTTTGATATTTTGACATGATCTGTGTGACACCATGGTTACTAAAATCAATCTCTTCTGTCATTTTCTCTAATTTTTCAAAGTTTGTTAAAGCATAGTTGACATGGAAATTGTGTCTCACTTACGTTTGTTTATAAAATTCATTATTGATTTCCACTTGTTGGTCGTTCTGCTCTGATACCATCTTAAAAATGAACAAACCACAACTCAACCCAAAAACTTAAGCGGATGAGTTTGGTAAATTTAATTCATTTATATGGATTCTAACGGTCCTTATGCAATTTTTCAATCCACAATTGATGGGAGTATTGGATATCTTATATAAATGATTAAATTTACTCTAACCTATCCACTTAAACTTTTGGATCCATTGATAAGTTAATCACGTTTATTATGGTATTAGAGGTTACCGAAGTTTTAAAATTGTTCATAGCATATAATTACTAACTGACTCAATAACATGCTACTAAATTATTCATCTCATGACTATTTGGATTAATTGACTTTGGTTCAAAAAATCGTAATCTCGATAAATTAGTAAATATTATTCTATACCACCTGAAAATTTGTTTGGTTTGAAATGTATATAAAATAACACCATTCATAAATAATCAAAATTGAAATATGAATTAATTTTCAAATAAATTAATTCAAGATTGGATAAAAAAATTACATTAAATTCAAAATTATTAAAGATATGTGGCAAGGTCTCTAAGCTTTTATTATTATTAAGCATGTTTATATTTAAAAAAAAAACTAAAAAAAATATTCTTAAGCATGTTTATTTTGTTTCCATCTTTTTCCTTTTCCTTTTCCCCCAACTCTCATGCGACATGTCGATTCCTTAGTGCTCTATCACCTCGAGTCGCGTGAGAGAGGAGAGCGCGTGAAGGGTTATTTTTACAAATGAAGAAATATGGAATATTGTAAGAAAGACTTGGTCTAGTCTTAACTCTATTTTTGCAGTCTGACGACCACCCAAACTTTGCCAGTCTGGCTTTTGCATTCTCCTCTATGTCTATATAATAGTCAAGTCAAATTCATATCTTTTGATTTTTTCTGGAAAAAGAAAAAAAAATACAGATTTCTATCCTTTTTTTGAATTTAAATAAAACTAGATATCCATAAAATCTTGGTTTCCACACGTTATTTAACTAAACAAAAATTATTCTAATGATATATATATTAGTTTAGATTTATATTATTTTCTAAAGATATAAGTTCCTATAAAGTTTGCCCGTGACCGTAAAACATAGGTGTCATGGATTTTTTTAATGTATTTTATAAAGTATAAAGAGGTAGAAAAAAGAACTATATTTTGAAAATATTATGGCATAGAAAATGGTTTGTAATTTAGTCATAAAATAAATAAAAAGTAGAAAGTTCTGTCGAGTCAAAGAGTGGGGCATGGGAGGAATCATGGTTCAATATTAACTTGCTGAGAAGTCAGAAGTCAGAAGTCGAGGGGAGAAACGTACAAAAACGAAAGCGCTCTCTCTCTCTCTCTCAAAGCAAAAGGAAGTACACACTGCCATTTAGACATTTTTTTATCACTATCCTCAGGGGAATTTAGAAAAAGAAATCCATATTTCATTATTTTTTAATTTATGAATATTTTTTAGTATTAATGAATAAAAATTATATATTTCATGAAAAAATAACTAGTATTTTATGTTTGTTTATAAATTTAAATAGTTGATGTTTAAAAACATTTATTATTCTAACAATCCAATAAAAGATTAGAAATATGTTTATAATTTAATAAAGCAATGTTGAGTTAGTTTAATTTTGAATTCGATAAAAAAATTATAAACATGTTTATGTTATCCTTATAATTAACTTATAATTTGGTTCTACTATATTTTACTAACTCTTAATCCTATTATCGTGGATATTGATTCAATTTTTCAATCCCAAAATATATTTAGTTTTAACATTGGATTCGAATGCTCCCTTATTTAAAATAACCCAATAATGAAATTACTATGATTTGGTTTTGAGTGGTTACTCTAATAAGGAAAAAGGTTTCTTAAAAAAAAATGAAAAAGTAGGTAAAATGTTTAAATGTCTATATATTTTCAACTTTTGTTTAATTTAGTAAATGGACTACGGTTGAAACGACTATTTTTTGTCTAGTTATTTTTAAAAATAATTATTTTGATCAATTTATTTTCATTTTTATCTAATTTGGTTTAATCGTAATTTTAATATGACACTATTCACAAAAGTTCAACCAAAATATACGTATTGAAAGTATATACAATGAACAAAATTGAAAGTAAAATAACTGAAATGAACATTTTGAAATATACAGACTAAAATAAACCAAAATAAAAATTACACTGACCAAACTAGTAATTTTTTTAATACAACAATATGTGGGGATGGAGATAGGAGACCGAAGCCCACTTTATTTTTATGAGGAATATATGTTAACCAGTTAAGGTATACTTAGGTTGACAACTCAACTAATATTTAAATTTAAGAAAAATTTTCTTCTATAGTAGCACCTATTTAGAATATTAAATTCCTACAATTTTTTAATTATTGGTATCCACATATCTCGATACTCACCAAATTGAACATAACTCAATGGATTAAAACATTTTCGGTTTTAACCGAAAATGTCAAGGTTGAAAATCTTTACCTCATAAGTTTTTTAAGTTTTTTAACGCAAAAAGAAAAAGGAGAAAATAAAGTTTCTCATATATCAATAATAATAATAATAATAATAATAATAAAAGAGCCAAATGTATTGCGGTTAAATTAAATAGAAGGAAATACAATTTCTTGGAGAAAAAGGTTTTTATGTTATTTTCAGGGTCAGGCACGTGTTCGCCGGTCCCTCTCCTCCACACACGACCGCTCTATAAAACCCACCAAAGCCAAGCCCCATCGTCCCATTTGTGATTCTCTCCATCCCCTCACCGCCATGGAAGCTCTCGACTTCGTCAAGCTCCATAATCTCTACGCTCATTTCTCCTCCATCGTTGAAACTGCATATCCTATGATTCGCTCTCATTTCTATGGCGACGATCAGGACGAAGATTCATTCTTCGACTTGGATTTCATCTCTCCTCCTCCCTCAGAAACCAGCAAATCTTCCGACTCCAAGAACCTGACTCGCTCGGGCCAAAACGGGCTCTGTTTCGAGCAGCCAGGTCTTCTCCTCTCTCATTCTGATCTTATCTCGAAACGAAAAATCCTTCCGATCGATCTCAGTTCAAAGCCAGAGTCTCCGGTTCCAGTTCCGCTTCTCAAATCGGCCCCGAGACTCTCGATTTCCTTGTTCAAGAAGCCGAAATTAATGGCGAAACAGAAGATGGACGAAACAGAGTCGCCGTCGTCTCTCAAACTACAGAACACAGAAAGCAAACGCTTCGCCTTCAAACTCAGCAGAGTAAGCAGTTCCAGAAACAACAATCGGATGGACGCATCTGAGCGTCAGTCGAAAAGATTCTCCGGCGAAGGAATGCAGAAGTATCTGAAATTAATCAAGCCTCTGTATGTGAAGGTTTCGAGGAGACATAACTACAGAGCGTCGCCGGTTTCATCTCCTGCGGCGGCGTCATCGATGGATGAGAAGCAGAGGAACATTTCGATCGGCATCCGAGTGGTTTGCAGGCGCCTCGGGAAGAGTAAATCGTCATCATCGGCGACTGGAATGGCTGTATCGCCGACGAATCGGCGAGACGATTCGCTTTTGCAGCAACACGACGGGATCGAGAGCGCCATTTTGCATTGCAAGAGGTCGTTCAGTGCTACCAGAGGTAAGATCCAAATTAAAGCAAAATCTCGGAACGTTTTTTTCATGCTCTCAAATCTGTTATGACTTTGAATATCTGCAACAATCTAACGATCATTTCAATCGAAATTTCAGACGATGTTGATGGAACGTGTGACGATAACCTACTATTCGAGACTGGCGATTTGCAGAAGCTGAAGGCGGGAAAAGATGTTTTCTCAGAAGCCGAACAAGGAGAACGACATTGAAGAGAGATAGAGAGAGAGTTGAACGTTTTTTGGGTTTTGCTGTAAAAAGATGAAAAGCAAACTGAATTAGGCAGTGCAGGACAGTTTTCGTTTTTTCTTTTCTTAGAAATGATAAACAGTGACTCAGTGAGTCTGATAGTGGGCGAGTTGGATGCAGGTGTATTTACTATTTGGTAAATAATAGTTAAATGATGAATGTAATGAACCATTTCTATTTTCTTTTTATGTCCCATATGATTTCCTTATCATTTCTTATTTATATTATGCCCATATAGATATTAAGTCAAATGAGTATGATAATTCACATATATTTCTAATATAAAAGAAGTAATAAAAATATTAATATAAAAACACAAAAAGCTTATATACATGACCATTTTGAAAACATTTTTATTTTCTTTTGTCTTTTCCTAACAAATTTTATATTACATTTAAACTTGAATTGGATATATATTTATATATTTATTGTAAAATCTCAAACTTTTTGTTATATTTAAAAATATATATCTATTTTATGCTATTTATGTAGACGTGACCTTCTTCTTTATTAATATGTTTTCACATGATTATTTTTCCTCAAGCCTAATATTTGTTTTGAAAACTTTAATAAAAATGGTAAACATTTTCACAACTAAGTTATATATCTGATGTGATTAAATTTTAACCATTGGAATGTTCGTTTTTATCCTACAAGTTGTAATTTATACATTTATTTTCTATCAAACGGAAAAAGGAAAATTGGTCAAAAAGCCAAATGATTTATGGCATTAATTGTTAAATGGATAATCTTTTGGACTTTTTTGCACAATTGTAATAATTAATAAGGTCAAAATAGGAAGAATCTTTATATGTTTATCTACTATTTGGGTTTTCCTTTTGAAAAATGACACCTATTCTATCCCTCTAGCACTCTTCATTTTCCTTCCCCTTCTTTAAAAGTAAAGTTTTGAAACTTTCACAGACCTTTGACCAACTTTGGCTAATACCACAAGTTATGAAAAGAATAAAAATTTAATTTTTGTATGCACATGCTATACTCTATTATTATTTGATTTAAATCATAGACTTCAAATATCGTTGAAATTCAAGGCTTGGCAATATATTTCATTTCCTTATTATTGACTAACTATCATATTGGTTAAACTTTTACATTTTGATAATTTTTTAAATTATGAATTTGACAACGATCAGAAAGTAAATTCTAAAGGGTAATTTAAGGGGGAAAAATGGACTTTCCCAAAATTGGAACCCTCTTGGGGACAATTTCAACGAGAAAAAAGAAGCTTTTTTCACTTTGGAAACATGTATTGAGAATTTTGCTTTAGTTTGGGACATCAAAAGCAGCATTTTTATTTGCTTTCTTTGAACAAAAGGCTCAGCTAATTAATTCAAAGTGAAAAAGCATATAAATGCTTTCTGTCTCTCAATTGAACCATTGCATTCTTTTTATTTATTTATTTATTTAATTAGTATGGATTTGAAAGGAACTGAATTGAATGCAATTTGGAACCTAAAAGTCATCCTATAATCCTTTGAAAATGAATCTCCCTAATTTTTATGTTAAAAATTATATATATATTAATTTTTTAATTAGTTAAATATAAAAAGAAATTAAAAGTTTTAAGAACTAAAAATTGATTTTATAAAAAAATAAAATTTAGAACAAAATAAACCATTAGTAGTTACAAATCCGAATTATTTTAACATCTAAAGAACTTTTATCCTATTGATAGGAGCATAATTATACATATCTTCAACTAAAGGCCAGGATCAAAATCTCCACCGCCACTTATTTTTTATAATTCAATTTTTTAGAGTATAATTATCGACTACATACATTTGAACCAAACCTCAAAAATTAGTTAGGAAGTTAGGATAGCGAATGAATCAAGAGTTCACTCTCTCCACACCTCCCATTGTTTTTATCAAAAAGGTTATAAAAAAAAAAAAAAAACTCTCTCTCCTTGATGTATGGGTAAAAAAAAAAAAAGAACATAAAGGTGTTTTGAAAGAAGAGATGGGACCTTGAAATATGGTTCACTGTACCAATGAGGGAAAGCCCCTTTGTTATTAGAAGAGAAACAGAATTGATTTAATATTGGCCGGAAGTTTCAAGACAAAACAATACAATGGATTTTGAATATATAACCCTTTCCCTAGAGAAAATTAAAGACATAATTAGAGTACCCAACGCCAACACCATGTTTTTCTCCGAGGGTTTTGGATTTGCTTTGTCCCCCCCCTTATCTTTCGTATCTCCTAATTAGCTTCTTTGTCTTCGGCCAAAATTTTTAATGTCTAATTAGTAATTATAAGCCCTTTCTTTGCTCCTCCTTCTCTCTCTTTTTTTTTTAATTAATTAATTTATTTTTTAACGAGCATTGGGATCAAAAGCTGGGTAGGTGATTCCTCTTCTTCACCATTATAGTTTATGATTAAATTCATTAGTGTTCCTTTAGTTCATTGAATCTCTAATTCCATGTCATTAAATATTGTGCCTGCCTATTATTTATATATGTGTGTGAATGTATATTGTAAAATATATTTTTTCTCCCTTTTAAGTTTGGTGGTACGGTATCGATTTACGGTCCTTAAAATTTCAAAATAGACATTTTTGGTCTTTGTGACTTTTTTTTTAAATACGATGTGGTGGTTAAGTTGATGGTTATATATTGCTGATTTGGCAAAATGTATTAATTTAATAATACTTTTATGATAGTGAGATTTTCTATCTTCTTCGACAAACTTGATCTTGTTACTTGCTGTCCATCTCGTTCTTCGTTCTACTTCTCGTTCAAATTCTACAAGGAACACTCGTTCATATCTAAAAAGGAACGATGATTCCTCATTCTATATCGGAATGAGGTTGCTCAATATTGGTGAGGGCTTTCGATGACAATGACGGGCGAGGAGGGAGATTATGGGCATTGGTGAGGTTTGCCCGAGAAGGATAGGAAGAGAAGGAAAAAGGAATGAGAAGATAGAAAGTTCAATCACCGTAAAAATAATATTAAATTAATATATTTGGTCAGTCTAAACACGACTTTATTGAACTATTAATTCTACTGAAAAAGACAGAGACAGCACCTATACTGTTGTGTGTGAGGGAGAGATGTTTGTTTAATTGGGCTTTTTTTGGCCCATGGTCACGCAATATACGAGGCCCATAACCAAACAACCCAATACCCTACGTGGCCCAATGATGACATTTTGTACCACGCCCAAGCCCACCCGGTAGAGAAAAGTTAGTACATCTTGAAGTATCCCTATGAAATAAATATAAATATTTTAAATTTAGAACTTACATCACTACTTATAAAATAAATATATCAGTAACACCCTAATAAAAATATTAAACAAATAAAAAATCAATTAACTTCAAGAAATCTCTTGAGTTTATTACTTGAAAATGAAATAAAATAAAACCACAATCAAATACGAGAAATAATATAAAAAAAAAATTTAATGAGTTTGTTACACATCGCACGTGGGATTAGTTGGAGATATGCCACGTAGGAATGATTTTTCATTTTTCATTTTTGTGTATGATATTATCAATTAAAGTTGTTAAGCTTCTGTTCTGGTATAGAGTTTTGTCTTTGTGCTGGAAGTGCGTTTTAATAAATTGCAGACTATAAAACGACGACGCCCACTAGTTATGTATGGAGGGAAATGTGTCACGGGCTGCCATTTTCTGAATATACTTTAAAATAATTAAAATATCCACGCACCATCCCCCATTTCGCTTCTTCCAAAGCTTTCTCTCTCTCTGAGGATAGAGAAATATCGGTGATTCTACAGTGAGCTCGTGAACTTTTCAACGATTGGTTCTCGACTATATTTACCCCATTAAATTTTGTACCAATACCAGAAAAATGTAAAATAAAAAAAAATAAAAGGAGATATTTTTTTTTTACATTTATACAAAATAAGGAGTTGTCAATTTTTTTTAGAAGTAATTAGCATAAAGATAATAATGATGATTTGTTACCAAAATCATTCTCATGTTTTAGTCTGCAATGGATCGCATGACAATACCAAAAATAATGAGTCCTAAAAAATTTACGAGTTGACTTAGTAACAGTTTTAGATTGAATGTAGAATTAAAGAGAGGACATGGATCGTACATTTGGATATCGTATCTTAAAGGAATATGATGCATGCCTTAAATAGATTCTTGGACACTCTATTCCTAAGTCTTGAAACTCCATTACCATATGAGTTTTTGTTGCAGTACACATCATTCATGTAATACTAACTTATTCCTTCATCGTTATCTAATTTGATAAATATTTAAGTATTTATTGGTCAACACTTATCTCACTGCTGACATCCACTAAAAATTTGATAATTCTTCAAATTACAAAAAATATATTTCTTTCTGTATTTCTCTCTCCTCTATGTCAAAACTTTTAACAGTGGTCAACTAAAGATATAAGCGGTTTAACAACTAAATATTGTTTGTGAATTTTTCTAGCTGTTTAGGTTGTGGTCGAATTAGAAGTTGACACCACCACCTTCTATGTGAGATATTATTTCCATACTCTAGTTTTTTTAATGTACAAATGTCAATTTGCTATTGGACACATCTTGAACCGTAAGAATTTGTTACCCAAACATGGGGTAAATATTTATCATAAAGAAAATAGTATTCCAAAAGATTTTAAGCATTAGACGAGATATCCTATTATTACATTAAATCACTACTAAGTTTGAAATTTGAAATTATTAATTTATATAAAATTGACCCCTTTGTGCTTTTTTTTCTTTTTGAAGCAACCCTCTATGCTTATTGTAGAGGTAAACCAAGATGAAACAATTAATATAGCTATTTTTTTTCAATAAAAATTTCAATATCTCCATAATTTGGCGATAGAAACAAAATATTGTCCCCACGTCGTGTCTTTGCATGCCGAGAGTCTGACTTTTAATGACTTCATCCCAATAAAATAAAATAATAAACAATAAACAATAATAGAAGTAAAGGCCATGCAATATTTGAGAGCCACAAGTTTTTGCTTCATTTTCTCAGGTACGGACTGTCATTTCACCATCAACAAGTTCGAAAATGAAATTCATCCTCTCAACAAAATAAAATCCTTAAGTTTCATGGATAAGCTTCACACCTTTTTTTTTTGTTCTAAAAAAGTCACACCAACTAAGCAAAATATTACTAAAATTTTCACAATTAGTTTTAGGCTAAATATATTTTTGATATTTAACAAATTTTCAATTTTATTCTTAATGTATGAAACATTCAATATTAAGTTATCCATAAAAAATGGTCAAAATTTGTTAATTAAAAGTTGATGCATCATATAATTATTATTTTATTAACCTATATACATGTCATTGAAATGCTATTTTTTTAAACTATGATACCCAATTTACCCCTCAACAAAAATTCATTTAGTGACATAATATGTTTGATATATGTTTAGTGACATGTTTGATATATGCTTAGTGACATAACAATAATTTAGCGACATAACATATAGAATTATAAAAAATTAACGATCAATTTTTTAAAAATCTTAAAAAATTAGAAACCATTTAATATATTTAGCTAACTTTTAATCATGAAATTATACTCATAAACCAAACCGCATTATTAAATTAAAGAGAGAGAGAGACTGAAGTATCTCTTCGAAGAATTCACTTCCCCTTCAAATCCCTTTATCTCTCACACATTCTCTCTCCGTCCATCTACAGAATCCCTCCCCAATGGAAGAAGACCAACCGCCGCCGCAGCCGCCGCCGCCACCGCCGCTCAGAAGCTACACATTAACCGCATCGTCGATATCCTACGCGAAATCCACCACCGTGATCACCGCCGCCACCTTGTCGCCGTACAAGTGGTTCAAATCCTGCGCCGCCGCCGCGCCCACGTACATTCTCCGCGACGTGTCGTTCACGGCCCACCCATCTCAAATCCTGGCCATCGTGGGCCCCAGCGGCGCCGGAAAATCAACTCTCCTCGACATCATCGCCGCCCGAACCGCCCCGAGCCACGGCGGCCTGTTCCTCAACTCTGCCCCTATAAACCCTTCCTCCTTCAGAAAACTCTCCGCCTACGTCCCTCAGCACGACGCCTCTCTCCCTCTCCTCACCGTCTCCGAGACCTTCGCCTTCGCCGCCCGCCTCCTCATCCCCAAAAAATCCGACATCCCCACCACCGTCGACTCCCTCCTCGCCGAGCTCCGCCTCACCCACGTGGCCAACACGCGCCTAATTTCCGGGATCTCCGGCGGCGAGAGAAGGCGCGTCTCCATCGGCCTCAGCCTCCTCCACGACCCCGCCGTTCTGCTCCTCGACGAGCCCACCTCCGGACTCGACAGTGCGTCCGCCTTCAACGTCATGTCGTCCCTCAAGTCCATCTGTCAGTCACGGAATCGGACGGTGGTGCTTTCGATTCACCAGCCCAGCTTCCGGATTTTGTCGGTTATCGACGGGATTCTTCTGCTGTCGAAAGGGTGCGTGATCCACCATGGAACTCTGTCGACTCTCAAGGAGTTTTTGGTTTCGAATGAATTTTCGATTCCTCCGCAGCTGAATCCTTTGGAATTTGCGATGGAAATTCTGGACCAGCTCACTCCCACTACTACTTGTGTTCCTCCTGATTTGCCGCCCGTCACCGGCGAGGCTACGCCGCGTCCGGATTATGAAGAGAATCCTCCGATCAAGTACAGGAGCTCGAGATTGCATGAGATCTTGACCCTCCATTGGAGGTTTTGGATGATCATTTTCCGGACGAGACAGCTGCTTTTGACCAACACTTTGGAGGCACTCATTGTCGGAATTGTTTTAGGTAACCACTCTCCCTTAAAATTTTCTGTTGAATTTAATATATTGAATTACAAATTTACAATCAATTTTGAAGCATAGATTTTTTTTTGGGAAAAATAGTTAGAGTCGCCCATTCTTGTCCTCACTGTTATTGGACCAAATCTTGTGCTTTCTACCGTCGAAAAATAGACCATTCATTTTTTTTTTTTGAAAAGTCTAATTTTACATTTTTTTTTCTCTTCCAAGTATTTTTTTTCCTCTTGTTTCTAGTTTATATTTTTTATTTTTGAAAATAAGAAACATAAGATGTTTGGATTTTTGTTCTTTCTTTTGGAAAGTTCGATAACGTTATCTTAAAATTTAGATTAGAGAATTAATAAAATTAATTTTTGTAAAAAGAATATTTAGAATTATTATGTTTTGTTTAATTGTATTCATTAATATTTTGGTAGTAAAATTGATAGAACAATACTTTTGTCTAGGTGCATCATCTTTGAAAATTTTTAAAAATTTTCAGCTTTTACATCCATCTTTCTTAACCGTCAAACATCAAATGGTAGATAATACAATACAGGTCTTTATCGATATAACGAGAAATATGAAATATGAAAATTAACCATTATTATTATTATTATCATCTTGCCAATATTGTTAATTAACTCAATAACAATGAACGTCAGGTACAATTTACATAAACATTGGTTTGGACAAGGCAGGCATAGACAAAAGATTGGGTCTATTCGCATTCACACTCACATTCCTGCTGTCCTCCACGACGGAGACTCTCCCGATATTCCTCGGCGAGCGGCCCATCCTCCTCCGGGAGACCTCCGGCGGCGTCTACCGTCTCTCCTCCTACATAATCGCCAACACCCTCGTTTTCCTCCCCTACCTCCTCGCCGTGGCCCTCATCTACTCCGTCTCCGTCTACTTCCTCGTCGGGCTCTGCTCCACGTGGCAGGCCTTCTCCTTCTTCGTCCTCGTCATCTGGGCCATCGTCCTCATGGCCAACTCCTTCGTCCTCTTCCTCAGCTCCCTCGCCCCCAACTTCATCGCCGGCACCGCCCTCGTCACCGCCCTCCTCGCCGCCTCCTTCCTCTTCTCCGGCTACTTCATCTCCCCGGACAGCCTCCCCAAGTTCTGGCTCTTCATGCACTTCCTTTCCATGTACAAGTACGCCCTCGACGCGCTCCTCATCAACGAGTACTCCTGCATGCTCTCCACGTGCTTCATTTGGTTCGAGGAGAATGATAAGGAGTGCTTGGTCACGGGCGCGGACGTCCTGCTCAAGAGAGGCCTCCACGAGCGCCAGCGCTGGACTAATGTCTATGCTCTCCTCGCCTTCTTCGTGCTCTATCGCCTTCTTTGCTTGCTTGTGCTGATTAGAAGGGTTTCCCGGTCTAAGAAATAATTAACCACACCCACCCCAGATAAATTCATTCAAAGGGTATATTTGGAAATACCACCTTCTTAATTGATTATTTTTGGCTTTTCAAAGTTAACTAAGAATTATTATGGTAATCTTAGCCCATATATGAAAATTAATAATGCATTTTGTATATAGTAATAGCTTAATAATCTTCTACAATGTTGCAAACTTCTTTACTATTGGGTGGATGTATAAGCTCATCTTTATAACATAGATTTTACTCTAGCCGAATTTCGACCACCAGAATCTATATATTGCCTTCATTTTAGTTTTTTTTCCCCTTCTCAAATGAGTTAAAGATAAATAAGTTGAAGACAAATTAATAAGCATCTTTCTTGTTTGGATATTGTCAATTATTTTATGATTATTGGTTGGCTTTTGCAAGAATAAGACTATGAAAATAACATTGGAGAGAGATGGCTGTTGGGGATTTAGGAGCCCTTTGATGTGAGGGTGAGGCTTCAATCATTTTCGGCAGATGGGCCGAAATGTCCAAAATGTCCCCACGTCCAACCTTCACACATGACATTTTCTTCTTATGGAATTTGAATTTTCTTCGTACTACAAAACCTTTCAAATTTTATTATCTTATATATATTTTTTTTTATGGAAATACATCAAATTGATTAAATAAAGATATGGGCTTAAATTGTCTTCCATGAAAAGTTTTAATACAATAATGTTGTTGAGTCGAAACACTCAGAATTTGTAGTGGGTGGCCATTTTTTGTTTGTAATGTAATTTTTTAATATTTGAAAACTAAATTTGGTTTTTTTTATTTGACGTGAGATATTATTGATAATAAGGCGATTAGTGACTTAAAAAGGAGTTAAATACTTTTTGATAATGGGATAATATTGAAGTTTTAAACTTTTAGAATGGGTTAAATTATTAGCTAGTAACATATTTTACAAGTTGATGGTTTAAATTATCTCATCTACATTTGTAATTATTATATTTTAAAAAAATTTAGAATTAGGAATGAAAAACACTTATTTACTGCCGGATGAAGGATATTGAATCACATCAACTTTTGAAATGATAATTGATGTCTTATTCGCCAAAACTATACTCATATTAACACTTCGATATTAAGGGCCCGTATGGAAACGTTCTTATTTCTCGTTTCTCATTTTTTATTTTTTATTTCTCATTTCCTTTTTTTAATAAATAACAAAAAAGAAAATCATTTGAGAATGGTTTCTTGTTTTCATTCTTTTTTTCTTTTATTGAAAAAAGAAACATAAACTTACTATTTCTTACCATTCATACTCTAAATTTTGAAATTAAAAAAAGTAAACTTTTTATGTGAAAATTGATTTTTAAATTAAATATTCAAAATATCTATATTATATTTATTTTTTAATATTTATTATGTATTTTTTTATAAGTCAATATTGATAAAAAAAATATTTTTATTTGTCCTTATTTATTTGAAAAAAGAAATTGGAAACAAGAAAGAGAAGCAACACAATCAATTTTGTTGTTTTCAAAATTTCTATACAATTTTATAAATGTTTTTTAAAAAAAGAAACGAAAAACTAAATCAATTGCCAAATGAGTTTCTCAAAAATGAAAAATAAAAAACGAAAACATTAACCAAAGCCCTAAAATTATACAGATTAAAAAATAAATATTGACATTTTAGATCGTTCAAACAATAACATGTCACGGGCGTTTTAGCTATTTTGATATGCAGATTTAGAAAGGAGAGAGAAATAGAGAGAGAGATTTTTGTTTTGTCGGATGGTGAAGGCTCTCTGATTGAATCAGTACCAAAATATTCACTCACGGGTTACTCTTGTGTTTCTGTAGCACGTGAACCTTTTTCTTCTTCTTTTTGGTTTTTTTTTTGTCTTCTTTATAGATTATATCTATATAAATTCTTTTTTCAAATAAAATAAAAAATTTTGTTGAATTTTTCTGATATAACTCGTTAACTAGGTGCCACGTAGACTTAAACATCATTGGGGTCCCTTAAATAGACGATTTGAGTATAATAACTACAAAATTACATGCCTCTGTAGATGATTTCATAATGCCATTTCGAGTAGGATTATTTAAAATAGAAAGAAAAAAAAAACAGACTTTGAGTAGGATAGAATTGATGGAGTTTGCCAATACTATCACTATACCACAAAAATTAGTTTGTTGAGAAAAACTTGGAGCGTAGCAAAACATACTAACCTAAGATATACAAGTTAAGATTGTGAGAGGGAGAGAGAACGGATAAATATCACACCATCGATATTTGTGGTTGATTTTTAGTCCTAGTGTACATGCATGTTTGATAGTATATTGACGTGCATATGTATTATTTGTTTGTCGTTTTTTTTTTTAAATTGTGTTACGTTAGAATAAAGAAATGTTGTGGTTGTAAGCTCCACCATAAAAATAAGATTGTTAATGTCAATGTCAACTTTTGATTTCCTGATTGAACGACCAGACCTATGAAAGAGCGCACTACCAACCTATAAGGGAGCACGGCCGACCTATGAGAGAATTAATGAGGCCGACCTATAATGGAGTAAGGTATGTGAAGAAAGAACTACACACAGAGAGTGGATACTTCGATGTTCAAGTCAGTTTCAATCTGAGGTATCCGCTCCCAAGACGAGCATCATATTTGTGTACGGAGAGAATTCAGTATTTATAGTCGTTTGGGAGTGGGCCCCACTTTTCATCCACTTTGCACGTCGTGTGATGCCCGACGTGAATTAAGCAGTAGTGATGAGTTGGGAGTTGAATAGAGTGCTTACGGTTGTTGGTGTAATATAGCTTGGCTCGAATCAAAAGATAGCTGAGAGTTATATTCTTGATTGAGCTGTATCAATAGCGGAGCTATATTTTTGAAAAATGGGTCTGAAACTTTATATCTCAACCTACAATCAGATCAGCTCTTCTTATTGGTTGACCATTTTCCATCATCTAATAGTTGAGATGGACAATTGTAGATAACAAATTGCAATCATTTAAAAAAGTTAGAAGTTATTTAATTCACAAGTTAAGTTTTGTAATTATAACCTAAGATGGGGAGATTGTATATTCATTTAACGTGTGACCTTGTTTAATGCCTATCTTCTTTTGTTAATTCTTGGTTTTTTGAAACTCATAAGTTAGTACGCAAAGTTTCATAATCCCCAAATATTCCAAAAGTCAAAATACAGGCTATACATAAATCCTAATTTCTAAAACTTTGTTACTATTATTATTATTGTGTTACTACAATCCAAACGGAATTTTTTTTGTTATTAAATTAGTTTTTATCTAAGGTTTTAAAATTTATATAAATCTTACATAATTACGTTTTCCAACATCATTGTGAAAAAATAATCTAAAACCATAATTTTTTATGAATATTTAGAAGTTTTTCTTTAAATAATCAATAATATATCCTATTTAGAAATAATAAGCTATATATATATATATATATATATATATATATATATATATATATACTTTATTTATTTATTTAACTCCATTTAAAGAGCCAAAGAGACCAATTTAAAGCCTTGGAGAAGCCCTTGTCAAAAAGATCTCATTTGGAGTGTCCGTTATTCTAGATGGGCCAGCCATTTGTACATTTATAAGAATGCCTATTAAAAGTCTTCAGAATTTATATCAGGTGTCCCTGTTTATCATATCGAAATATCAAAATTTATTAATTTTTAATCACAAAATAACACATTTTTTCCTTGTTGGAAGTAGAAAGTTGGCAATTGGAAAAACAAAGCATTAATTTTCACCCTTTCTAAATTTGATTTTTATGATGTATTTGGTCGGTTCTCAAAATCACTGTCCCTTAAATGAATCATATTTGACAAATTAAAAAATTGACTTTAGAAAAGTTAAAATCACTTTAAAGTTATTTTTAAGGTATCACTTCGACGATGATATTGGAAAATCAATTATACTTAAATATCTATTTTCAAAATCTTTCATTTCATTCTATCACTTCCAAACACACCTTTGTATTATTTGTTTAAGCCAATAATAACATTAAACAAGTGATAAGAAAAAAAAAAACATTTGCTCCTAGTTTGGTGAGCAATACCTCTTATTCCTTAGACAGAGTGAATCAATCCACGCCATTTTATTTGGCCTAGCCACGATTTTAAAATTTGATTATTTTTATTACTATGTTAAATTCTTATATTTTGTTTGTTGAAAAAACTCCACTAAAAAGAGCTTTGGAGGGATGATTTAGTTTAGTTGCAAGGAAATTCAAGAGTAAAATTCTTCAACTTCTATGATAAAAAATGTTCCATACGCTTAATCTGGCTTTGGTATGCCACCCTTTTCAACTAGCATTAATTACTGAAGCTACCCACGAGCAGCCAATCAAATCTAACAAAACTAAGAAACTATTTATTACCTGATTTGATAATAATTTCGATTTTAGTTTTATGTTTTTTAAAATTTAGTTTGTTTGTCGACTTGAATATAACTTAAAGTAAATATATCTGACCAGAAATTTATGAGTTCAAATTCCAATAATAGTTAGAAGAAAGTATAGTTGGTGGTGAGCTTAATTTTAAAAAACAGAGAGCAAAATAGAGTTCATAATTTAGATAACTATCTTTGCAAAGGTAGAGGGAAGTTTGGTGTGATGACAGTCATCTTCTTCGTTAGTTAGATTAATTTAAAAATTTATTTGTAATAAGTGGCTTCTTCTCAATATTTTTAGTTTAATAAATGGGCTGTTACAAGAATCGTCATTTACAGACCCACATGGTATTTACGGTAGAGAAGCTATCTAGAAATTAAAAAAATAAAAGATAAAAAATCAGTTTATAAACCCTTGCTAGTTGCTAAGCTAAAAAAATTAGATCATCTAATTGCGCTTGCGCAGCCATCAACCATAACTCCTCCGGCAGTTGGGCAACTGGCCAGAGGGCAGCCATCCACATTGTTTCCCCACCAGTCAATTCCCTTTGATCCCAGTGTCAGAAATATCAATATTGTCATGAAGGCAGTTCCTGCGTCCAGGCCGCCGGAGAGGATATAATTGTAGCGTCTCCACCACTGTGTCTTATATCTGAAAAGGAAAAATCCAAACAGAAACCCACAGATGAGCCAACTAGTAAAGTTCACGGCACTGGCGGGCGGCATCATCGCTGTAGCGCCCAATAGGACTGGCATGTGGATGAGGCGAATCCATGAATGCTTGGGGAACATCTTGTGCGCAATCCATACGAGCAGAGGGGCAATGGCTCCACCAATAAAGAACCAATTCACAGCTCCATATTCTCCCAAGTTCCCAAAGATTCTACGAGGCCCAACAAGCCCCCAAATGACTGAAGCATCGAAGAACACACGATCCATCGGGCAAGTCCAGGGGCTATTCGATGGCAGCAGGTTAGTGTCACAAAGGTTATGAATTGATCCCATTAGCCACCAGGCGGTTGAAATGTATACCACCACGGCTATGATTGTTCCCACCATCTGCCACAAAGTTGATTCATTATGAACAACAACACACTTAGCATATACTATATTTCATATTGTATTATAATTTTAGACCAAAGTATAGAAAATGTGGTGGGATCTTCATGTAGTGACCAAGTTTAAAGTCGGACACAAATGTTAGAGCTTGTGTCATGCTAATATATCCGAACACCTTGAAACACATGTTTGCGACTGGACGCTCAGGATACGCATAGCCAATGATGTACTCTGTTATAATATTCAAACCAGGTGACTGCAAACAAAAAAAAGTCATTTGGACTTAACGTGAGTAAGTCATCTCTTGAAAGCAAACAGATGTGTAGTTTAAATTTTAATTAGGGTTCTATGACTTTACTTGGTTTGTGGTAGCGGCAATGATTCCAATTGGAAGAGTGAAAAAGAAGGCAATGGCACAAGCTAACAGAACACCCCACCAAGGCAATTGAAGAGATGCATTGTAATATTGACAAGCAAAAATAGAGAGACCAATGCTCAACACAAGGATGATGAGGAACCACCATGTAGGTACTTGTTTATAGGCTTTCATAAGCCTCGTATGTATGTCCATTTTCCTCTTCCCTCCAAAGGCGTTTTTGCTCTGGTTCCACAGTTCCCTGCAAGTATAGATCATGAATCAATTACCACCTGGTTGTTTTATCATTTCTTTATCAAACAAGGTCTAGACTATCTAGTTTTGAAGTTTGGTTGAGAATTTACCTTCCATTGAAGAGAAAGACATGAACAAGTGTAGCAGAAAGTGTGGCAAATCCAAGTCCGTAGGTCATTGCAAAGAAGGTACTGAGATTTACAGGCCCAGTTGTGCGGTAAACACCTCGATCAAGATGGAAATTTGAATTCACAATACTCGAGAGGTTGTACTTGAGACCATTGGACATGAAAAGGCTGCTCGAATATATGGGGAACTTCTTTGCTCCATAAACATCGAACCAGTAGCAAAGGGGTGTCATCACATACATAACAAGAAAGAATCCCACAGCAATATTGGCAGTGGCAAACCAAGGACTAGCCAAGGGACTTCCAAGATAAGATGAAATTGTGGTCCAATCTACCCCAAATGCGCCAATTCCAAGGCCGCGCGTGCCAGAGCCCAGTTGATGAAGCAAAACAGACTTGGAATTAAACCAACACACCCAAGAGAAAGAGGTGAGCATAAAGAAAAGGTAGCCAGGAAGAACATAGTAAGCAAAGCTGCAAATCATTGCTAAAATGAAGAATTGGGTGATAGTGGTGCCGCGTTTCGGTCTCTTCTCCTTCTCGTGGAGTGCCCTGCAAGTCCCAAAGTTCCACTAGTTAGCAAACTTAACTATATGAATACAAAGAATAAAAAGATTCATTCAACTAAAACCATGGTAAGAAGACACGTCACCTAAACAATGAGACCTGAACCAAATTAGATGGCCACCACATTTCTCCTGGCTCAACCAGATATTTTCTGAAGATTCCAGCCCAGCCAAATCCAAGAATCTATGAAACAAGTAGAAACACAAATTATCAACATCAGAAAAATCAAACAGATACGAGAAACCGGCATTGGAAAAGGGAATAAAGAAGAAACCTGAGTGGTGAGCATAATAAGCAGGGCAGGAACGAAAGTGAGCTGCCTCTTGTAGAGGAGCTTAACAGCAGTCAAAATATGAGTAGCGTAAACAGAGCCAGCACCAGAATTGGCAAAAATAGTAATGAGAACATGTTCCTTAATGTTAAAGGGTCCAGGATTCATAGTGAACTCGAAGCGTGTGCCCTTGAAAAGGGGTCTCGTCGGTAGCGTCTTGGCCATCAAGTGGCCAATGGGAACCACAGCAATCTGGGCGGCAATGGAAGAAACCGACAAGGGGTTGGATCTGTACCAAAAGAACTGATTGACAAAGGAGAGTATGACACAGGAGGCAATCCCCAAGACCCACATTCTAAAGGTGAGAACCGGCAAGTTCGGGTCATCGGTCTTCGGCACTGTAATATCCACTTGCTTGATGGAGCACTCGTCATCGCCGGCAGCTGGAGCCGGCGGGTCGGCGCTGTGAATCTCTAAGACGGTAGTGGTCATGGTATTGGCAGTGGGTGGAAGAGTTTTGTTTTGTGTCGTGGAGTGTGAGGCAAGTGAGTGAGAAGCTCTTACTGCCTTTGGCTTTTTATAGAGAACACAAATCCAAACGTAGAATAAGAAGGAATTCCGAATTCGTATGAGAGTAGGACTTCTACTGGGATTGGGATTTAGGAATTTCTGAGAATTCGTAATCCTAATTTGTGTCCTAATCAGTTTCGAATTCATAATGCCGCATCTATTTTATCCAATCCGGATCATAGAAAAGATAAATATAAAATAATCATTTTATTTCGAATTTGGGGGATCGTCTTTGTTTTTTTAAAATATTTTATAAAATTTATTTTTCAAATTATTACGTTTTTTTTTTTTTTGTAATTTTAAACAATGTGATTCCACGAATAGGAAAAGCGAAAGATCTTTAAGTTCTAGATTAGTTATTTGTTTTTCGTTAACAGCCCGTTACAGCTTTTTTGTTATTATTATTAAAAAAAATTGCGTGATATTCGCATTCAATTCTTTTTTTTTTCTTTTAACTTTTCGTTTTAGTAATTTTTCTCTTAATTTGAATGCGTCTGTACTTTTGTTAATTATTATTTTTAAACTTTGCCTAAATGCAACCTTCAAAAAATAGTTTTGGTTTTAACAAAATCATTTATATATATATATAATATTAAAATCTGATTTACCAATTTGTGTATCCACAAAATCATTTTTTTTAAATATAGTTTAGTATTTTTTTTTTATAAGTGTGAATCCCACAAAATCAATCTCTCCAAAATTTACAATATATTTTTTAAAAAATTAAAATTTTAATGTAAATATTATAATTATAAATAATATTTGAAAGTTGAGAAGAGTTTGAAACTCATCAAATATTTTAAATAAATGTTAAAATTTTTAAATGGCTTTTATAATAACAAGAAAAAAGTTTGCTAAATCAATTAAGAACCATTACTCTTAAGAAGAAAAGAACAATTAAATATTGTCAATGTTGTTCTCCTTAAAATTACATTATTTATAGATTTTATTTACATAATATCAAAGTCTTCTCAACTTTTAAGTTAAAATAATCTTCTTATAGTGATAGCATTTAACATTATCCTTCATCTAACAATGGAACACATCTAACAGGAGCCTTTCTACTAAATAAGAAAATTATTAGTACTATACTATATTATATAACTCTTTCAAATTACATAAGAGCACTAGAAATTTTATAATTCAAACAAAGTTGTGTGGCTGTCAAAAAATGAGCCAACGACTTCTAGCCAGAATATTTACTCGAGCAATCCCATCAAAGAATGAGCCACCACCAACCAGAGTCGTAGGAAAAGCGAGAGCACAACACTCATCAAACAATGTTCTGAATTGAGAACATCTAAAGTTCATTCAGTCGAGAAAAAGAAACGAAAATATCGTGGGGCCAAAAGAAAACAGATCTACATTTGATTACATGGAACAGATTAATGACACCCATCACTTTCTGGATACAATCACAGAGTTTAGAACAGAAGAATAATCAAACCACTGGTTTTAGAAATGGTAGACAAATCAAGCCGAACACAAAAAAGGACTGGTGACTCGCTACAAACAGACGCCAAAATGAAAATTTCCCTCAAAACTGCAACTTTTCATAAGTTAGCATATCAAACCAATGGGATAAGCTCTGATCAGATCTACCATTTCTTCAACTCCATACCGTCTGGAGGGCTTCCTTCCACCTTCTTCGATCCCACCTCCTTCCAGTTCGTGGAGAGGACCGTGCCATTCGACTCCACCTTAAAACAAAGAAAATTGAACATTTGAACCAAGAATTTTGGAAAAGTATAGTATCTGGCATATGTACAAAGCATGATTAAAAATGTAAAAACACTTCAAGGAGCCTTACAAAAGATTTTTGCATGGCCCTTCTTGTATCCTCATCAGCATCCTTGTATATGTCTCGGAAAAACCTGTTCAAAGCCGCATCCCCGTCTAGTTTTTCGTCTTTCTCCTGAAACAAAACAACAAACAGCAGTCAGTTCACACCACAGATCAAATAAGACGAAGAAGAAAAAGTAAAGACCCATTACTACAATCAGACCTCCTTTTTCACTTCAGCTTCAATCTTATCCCAATCTTTCTTTGGCTTAGAGGAAGGATAAGCGGGCCTCTGGGATCCGCTAGCTGCAAAAATCACAAGTTTCCATCAAGCTCAGCAGCATAAAACATGAGATGCCAAACAAACTCGATTATGTTAGTAATAAATAAAACACCATCATTGACATCAGATATACTTAACCAGGTAGTTTATAGTATGCCAATAATTCTACCATTCCACGAGAGTTAAACCAAAGACGTGATCCTAGTTTAATAATGCACATTTCAAGCATAAACAAAAGCTGCATCTTGCAAATACAGTCCGCAAACCCATCTAATAGCCAATATACAGCGGCATATTGAATGGATCATAAATTGTTGCTCACAATTTTGGATGTTAAATTTGATCATCTTAAACACTGAATGAAGAGAATAGGTCAGCCATACTACTGTGTAAACGCTAAGATCAGTTAAATGAAGACGTACAGAGAATAGAGTCACCTACCGGGGACATTAATCGTCTGGGTAATTCTGTTCTCCTTGCAGAATTCAAGAGTCGTCCAGTGTATTTTTTCAGCTTTTGCAAGACGTATTTCGATTTTGGTTGATAAAACAAAAAATTTGCACTTCTCACGTATTATCTGTTTGGACACCCGAACACGAAACATAAAATTGAGGCATAACTAAACAAAATTTTTCTTATCGTTGCAGGAAACAAATGCTCAAATAAGAAGGAAGCTGTAAGGAAGTGGATCCCTCGCAGCAGAAAACAAAGAAAATAAGAATGAAGGGTACTACATAATCAAAGAAATTACTTTTCAACATCACAACATTCCATCTTGTTTTGGATATCAAATAGGACCTCTCATTTGTACTATTAGAGAAGTTGGGATATAAAAGTCCGGCAATACCTTCCCAAATAAACGAGTCTGCAAACGATACGCATCTTCATCAGGAAGATCAATAGTCACACTGAGCTGCAAACAAGCCATGAAATTTTCAATAAATATTGATAATTTTGAAACAAATTCCAAAAATTGAATAATCAATTCAAATCATACAATTTGTTCACCAAAATCAACAGCAACATTTCCTGCTGGTATTCCCTTGGCAAATATGGTCACAACCACTTCTTCCGGCTTCTGATAAAATTCATGCCTGCACGAGAATTTTGGCAGAAACTATGATCACCATCAATGATGTGATGCATCCTTATTTGAATAAAATTTAATAAAAATGAAACAGATGATAAATTAAACACATCAAAAGGAAAAAAATACTGCACAAAAATAGAGAGAGAAAATTATTACTCATGTAAGGATTGAATAAAAGCAGCAACCTGAATTTTGGTTTGGCTTCTGTTGCCACCTGGTGTGATTGATCACTCACAGGTTCAACATCGTTTGTTGGTAAAACAGTTTCCTGAACAGTTTTTTCCACTGATTCCTGTGGAAGATCGCCCATTTCCTCTGAAAATGAAAATGGGTGCATCCATAAATCAAAAATATTTAAATGCTCTTTCCAAATAATGGTCACTAATGACAACTATAGACAAAAGAACCACGTTTATACATGACAAAACTTGGCAAATAAGATCTATAATCTTCATTGGTAGTTAACCACATATTTAACTGGTAAATAATCAAGAACCACATACCAGCAATATGCTTTTCACATTCTTTTATTAAATTCGCAAATCTCGAATCTCCTGAAGCCAAAGCAGAACCTGTCTCCAAAGCGATCTTTGCCGTTTGATATTCCTCAAGTTTCATACATGCGGTTCTAAAACAGAGACGATGACAGGAAGAATGAAAATTTATATCAACAAAGAGTAGATAACACGTAATCTTTATAAAATTGGCAAAAGTTTAGAAAATAACTCATGGAAGATGAAAATAAAGGATCCACAATGTTTCGAGAATTCTTTTATGTTATCACGCAATGTTGCACCAACTGTCTGAGATATAATACTCTTGACTATTAAAAGTTATAATAGAATACCAAAAGCTACACAAATTAAGAACAAGACTCACCCTTTGCGCAAGTATGCTTTCGAATTTGAAGGGTCAAGTTCAATTGCTTTGTTTGCATCAGCAACAGCCTCTGCACACATAAGCTCGAATCATAAACAACTTTAAAAAACCATCCACTTCACTCGTATTAAGCAGAGGAATGTAAATCTTCTTTCTTTTACATGATCTCAGGAGCAAAACTTCAAATTCAAACCATAAACCAAATCGCTCATCCAAAAATTTCACGAATCAACAACCTTTTTAACATTGACTTCTACAAGAAGCAATAAACTGGCGGTCAAGTAAAGTCTTTAGTACAAATCAGAACCGAAAAAAGTACACAACGATAAAATACACTCCTTCGCCCAATCCCAATCACAAAAAAATCATGTCAATGGACCATGTCCTAGGAAGCAGCAGCCAAAAAGAATCATTAAGTCGAGAGATAGAGAGCAGTACCGGTGTAATGGCCGAGTTTGATGTTGGCCTGAGCGCGGTCAACATAAAGCTCGGCTTTCTTGGGACTAAGAGCGATAGCCTGAGTGTAGAGCTCGACGGAAAGTTCGAAGTGGTCGTCGAAAAACGCTTCCTTAGCCTTGACTTCGAGATCGGACGCCATGAAAGAAGAACTTGGAGCGTCGGAAAATAGAGAAGGTTCTGGAGGGGAGGGGAGGGGAGGGGAGGGGAGGGGATCGATCGATTTTTGAAGAATTTGATTGACTTGAAGTCGTGATAAATGATAAAAGGCGGACAGAAAAATAAAGTATTATTAAAATAATTGCTATAATTTCCCCTATTTTTATAAATAAAATACACAATTTTTTTTAATAAATCAATTTGTATCGCTGCTAAATTTTTATGTAATATTTAATTATACGTGCCACTAGAAACTGAAAATGAAAACTAACAAAGCTAATTTGAAACCTTTATAAGTTTACTTCGTGAGATTTAGGCGTCCAACAAGAGGAAAGGAATTTTGAAAAGATGGGTTCAAAGTCCATCGTAGTTGCCTTACTCAAAGAATATTTTTAAATTGTAGAGTACAGTTGTCCTATTAATTTTTACAAATTAAAGTTTCAATTACAAATTTAATTTATCATTTGTATCTCATAGTAAATTCATGAATTTCTAATTATGTATTTTAGATGTTTAAACTTTTAATTTTGTTTCATAGATTTCATAATATCTAATAGATCTAAAATATTTTATAGGCCATTGATCTCTCTTTTTGTTTTCTTTCGTAATGCAACAACATGTAGAGTAGAGATTCGAATTTGAGATGAGTCGGTTGTAATTGTTGAGGGTAATATCTTGAGCTCACATCGTTTAAGAAATGAGCTAGTTGAAGATGCTTTAGACGATTCTAAAAGAGACTTCGATTAGGAGACTTAGTCCTCTTTTGACGGGGGCAGACTCTAACTCCATCGTTTGAGGAGAATTTGTAGTTGGATCAATCAAGGCTTCCTAGCCTAAAATTCTTGAAGGACACAGGATCACTCCCTTCTTTGTTGGGTTGGATTTTGATTTTCAGTGGCAAAGAAATTTGAGTTGGGGCTTGTCTCCGAGAATGATTTACCCTCGAAGGCAAATTCTCAATGCCTTGGACTGATGAAATTAGATCATGATAAGGTTGTGTAGATGAAGGTGAACGTTTTCACCTTTATGAATTTTTACAGTAGTAATATACCTTTTGGTTGGGCCATGTGCTTCAAATTTAAATTGAGGCGGACAATAAATTTATTAGATTAACAATTTTTTTTATATCCGTGTTTCTGGGCTGCGTGCACCTCGATTATTCACGGGCCAACCGCCTGACCCTACTACATTTGGTTGACAAAGGAAACTCATAGAATAACAATGGAAAGTCAATCAAGTTTATGACCTATTTTGTTGTAAAATTCAATGAGAATTTTTTATTTTTTATTTATTTATTTTTATTATTATTTTTTTTTACACAAACCTTAGGTGAGTAACTAAACTTATGATTAAGGGAAAAAAATTCAAATACCCAGATTACTATTACACAGGAGTACGTTATTGGTTGCCGCTGATCCTATACATAGTTGAAGGTATTTGCCAACCATTTCGCAACTCAGCCTCTTCTCTGCTTCTTTCTTTTTAACTCCAACTATCATCCAAGCCTTGCAAGAAAAAATATGATATGTAGAACAGTTCCCAAGTTTCTAAACAGAAACGAACTCAATCGTCTGGAAGAAACCTGCTCTCATCTCATTTCAATCTGCAATTCGAAATCATTAAAAGAGGGCATTTGTGTTCATAGCCCAATTATCAAGCTCGGTCTTTATGGTAATCTGTATCTGAGCAATAACTTGCTTACTCTTTATGCGAAACGGTTTGGGCTGAAACAAGCACGCAACCTGTTTGATGAAATGCCTGACAAAGATGTGGTGTCCTGGACTACAATGCAGGCTGCTTATGTTAGGAACAGAAGCTACATTGAGGCTTTTGAATTGTTTGATTTGATGGTTATATTGGGTCATTGTCCAAACGAGTTCACACTTTCAACTTTGCTCCGTTCATGCTCGGAAACTGGAGAACTGGAGCTTGGAGCTTGTGTCCATGGTTATGCCATAAAGGGTGGCTTTGAGTCGAAGCCAGTTCTGGGCTGCACCTTGATTGATATGTATGCAAAGTGTGATTGCACTGAGGAAGCTTGTGAAGTTTTCAGAAATATGGACAATGCTGATACCGTTACTTGGACCGCGACGATTTCTTCATTGGTGCAAGCACAGAAATGGAATGAGGCTCTGCAATTATATATCACTATGATTGAGTCTGGGGTCACTCCTAATGAGTTCACTTTTACAAAACTTTTAGCCACAATCAACTTTCTGGATTTGAAATATGGGAAATTACTCCATAATCATGTGATAACATTTGGAGTCGATCTGAACGTACTTTTGAAGACGACCCTTGTTGATATGTACTCGAGATACCAAGAATTAGAAGATGCTATGAAGGTGGCAAATCAGACGGCTGAGAAAGATGTGCATCTATGGACCTCTATCATCTCTTGCTTCAATCAGAATCTGAAGGTAAAGGAAGCTATTGCTACATTACAGGAGATGAGGATATCTGGAATTCCGCCCAACAGTTTCACATATTCCAGTGTGTTAAGTGCCTGTACATTGATACCATCACTTGAATTAGGGAAGCAAATCCACTTGCAGGTAATCTTGGCTGGTTTGGAGGCTGATGTTTGCGCTGGGAGTGCACTAATTAATATGTACATGAAATGTTCTGACTCAATAAACGATGCCTTGAGAGTGTTTAGGACAATAACTTCCCCAAATGTTATTTGTTGGACTTCTTTAATATCTGGTCTAGCCGAACATGGTTGTGAGCAAGATTGTTACAGATATTTTCTGGATATGCAAGCAGCAGGGGTGCAGCCAAATTCTTTTACTCTTTCTAGCATCCTTGGGGCCTGCAGTTCAGCAAAATCACAAAATCGAACATCGATGTTCCATGGATATATACTAAAAATTAGAGCTCACCATGATATCATTGTTGGGAATGCTCTTGTGGATGCTTATGCTCGATCTAGGATGGTGGATGAAGCTTGGCGAGTGATTAGCACAATGAATCATCGAGATGCCATCACTTACACCAGCCTAGCAACGAGATTGAATCAGATGGGTGATCATGAAATGGCACTAAAAACCATAAGTTCCATGCGTGATGATAATGTTAGGAAGGATGAGGTTAGCTTGGCAAGCTTGATATCTGCAGCAACTGGCCTAGGCACAGTTAAAATTGGGGAGCAACTTCACTGTTATTCTTTGAAGTATGGCTTATATAACACCCGTTCAGTTAAAAATAGTTTGATTGACTTGTATGGCAAGGTTGGATGCTTGAAGGATGCTCAAAAAGCTTTTGAAGAAATAACCGAACCAGATGTGGTTTCTTGGAACGGAATGATATCTGTATTAGCACTCAATGGGCATGTCTCCTCCGCTCTCTCTGCCTTCGATAATATGAGATTGGCTGGCCTGAAGCCCGATTCTATCACGTTCCTATTGATACTTTCAGCTTGCAGTCAGGGTGGTTTGGTTGATTTTGGCATGCATTATTTCCAATCTATGAGAGAAATACATTATGTAGAACCAGAATTGGATCATTATGTTTGTTTAGTTGATCTCCTTGGCCGCGCTGGACAGCTAGAGAAGGCGATGGAAGTTGTTGAATCAATGCCATTCGAGGCAGATGCCAAGATCTACAAGACATTGTTGAGCGCCTGTAAATTGCACAAAAACATGCTGCTTGGAGAAGATGTCGCAAGAAGAGGCCTTCAACTTGACCCATATGATTCATCTTTCTATTTGCTTCTGGCCAACTTGTACGATGAATTGAACCGACCCGATTTGAGCAAAGAAACTCGTAAGCTAATGCGGGATCGTGGAGTGAGGAAGAGTCCCAGCCAGAGCTGGACAGAATTAAGCAATAGTATTCATCTCTTCATCACAGGAGATAGATCACACCCTCAGATCAATGATATCCAAGAAAAACTAGAATTCCTCAAAGCTGAGTTCAAGGTTAGGGGATTTTTGTATCATGGCGATGAAAATTCATCTCATCACAGTGAAAAACTAGCTCTTGCATTTGGTCTTATCAATTTGCCACCAAAAGCTGTTATACGTATAATGAAGAACATAAGCATTTGCAGAGAATGTCATGACTTTATATTGCTTGTCACAAAGGTTGCAGAGAGAGAAATAGTTGTGAGAGATGGGAGTAGACTCCATGTGTTCAAAAATGGCAGCTGCTCTTGCAGGCACTACTCAAGATCATGAACCCTGCTACTATATATGGAGGCTCTGTGGCTGTCCAAAATCCATCTTAATTGATACTTATTCTCAAATTTCTATTTTGTAATTGGTTTGATTAATCATATCCAGCAATTGGGGCCAGAATATACATATTCAAATTGGTCATTCTCAAAACCTATCCATGGGGTTGATGCGCACAGTAAAATTTAGACAAGGCAATGAAAAGGTAAATTTATGTAATTCCAGAATTGGGTAAAGATTATTGAAGTACGCGACTTTGTCAACAATCATTCCTGCATACAGGCACTCTATTGGAGAACAAACATAATTAGATAACATCAAGGGCAAAAACAAAGAACAGCTTTCGATTCCGAAACTCGAAGCCTCCAAATGGTAAAAAAGGGTCACTCTGTCACCTGAGATGCTTTTTCGGCTGTCTCTACCTTTTGCGAACTACCACCACCGATGGCTTCCAGCGTTTTGTAGAACTCTTCCGGGAGAGGACCTGGTCGGTGCAGAGGAATATGCTTGGGTACCGAAGCGTCGTTCTCGATCACTTCACATTCATAGTCATCAGGAACACCCCAGGGATCCCACTCTGCATATTTGAGATAACTAATTGATAACATAACTATAGAAATATTGTGATAACTGGAAAAAAGAAGTCGGTAAATCTCTATCTATAAAATTTCTGTCATCACTGCAGAGATTTCAAACTTCCAGACTAGATCATGATTCCTTTGAATATGCGATATTCATTCATTCATCTTGGTGAGAACAAGAAATCAACTTCAGAAGTTAAGAGACATTAACACTTCAGGACGTTAGGTAGTAATCCAATTACCCAAATGATGCTCAAGGAGACAGTCCAGCGAATGACCTCAGATTCATCTATTGAGAAAATATAAATCTAGTACGATACTAATCTTACAGAAAAAAATGAGTAGACAACTAATCTTACAGCCAATGATCCCAGGTTAAGAGAAAAATGAAATCGGGGATTGCCATTACGCCATGAGGCCAATGATTCAACGAGCCAAGAAGAGGGTAACGATGGAAGAAGGATAATTACAGTCTAATCTTTAAGTATTAGTAACCCACTTTTTCCAGCACAACACAAGATGCAAATGGCATTCTTTGACACTCAATACTTGTTAAATTAAATCGCGAATCTCCATCCTATTCCCTACAAGTTCTCATCAACATACAAAACTCACAATAACAAACACCTCAAAGTTCGCAGTCGTGAGTTTTCCTACGAAAATTGAGCTAAAAAGGTTCGGTTTTCATCATTTCGACGCAATGCAGAGATATAAACATTATATAACTCGCAAATCCTGCTAGATTCCTTTACCAATTCTTACATTCCATCGTAAACGGAACCAGAATTCAAATGAAAATGAAACGGGAATTGACTGCATATTAAAATTAAATACATACCGATCATTTTAGCAATGAGCTTGAGCTCGTCCTGAGCCTCCTCGATGAGCTCCTCCACCTGGCCACAGCCAAGCCGCTTCTCAATTTTCTCCCAGTCGTCTTCCTCCTGGCAAACCTTCAAGCGGTGGCGCGTGAAGCTCTCGACCGCCTTACGGTATCCTTCGTCCTCGGGAACAGCCTGGATCTCCTTTAGGGTTTTAGAGTAAAGACCGATCAATACCTCTCTCGCGTTAGGGACGACCTCCAGACCTACGATCCCGGTCGTCTGCTTCACCTTGGCCAGTAATGGCCGTCCGATCACTCGCAGAAACATCGTCGGAAAAACTCTGTGTCTCTCTCCTGATCACTCTCTCAGTCGTGACTTGCCAGGCGCGTTGTTGATACAGGAGGGGCTCTCTCTCTCCGTTGAGATTCGAACGGGATGGATCTTAGTGGGCCTCAAGCCCATTTTCAAACAGGATCACTTTTACCTAGCCTTTGAGCCCATTTTCAAAAGGTTGACTTACTGGGCCTAGCCCATAATATTCGATAATTTGGAAAATACTCCATTTTGCAGTTTCTTTATAATTATAATTATAGGTGGGATAATCTATTTTACTTCCCTCCACAAAGCAGAGGGAAAAAACCCATTTTACTTAGCTGGAGGATGGGTTGAATTTAACTTTAAAATTTTGATTTCAGTTAAGTTTTGAAATCGTTACTTGAGTGGTTAGACATATATACTTTTTTATTTCGAGTAGTAAATTCAAAATTTCTCTCTTAATTTGTTATATAATTATATTATATTATATAATATTAAAGTAAAAAAAAAAAAAAACTCTACAAAACCAATACTCAAGTTGTGGTTACCATGGCGAATCGGTGATTTTTTTTTTTTGGGTGGTAGGAGAAAACTAATTTATTTGTTAATTAGGAATTTGATATACTAATTATTTGATATATATTCTTGTATAATTTGATTAATTATTAAAAGTGCTAAATGATTTTAATTATGTTGTAAAACCAAAAACATATTTATGCTAATGGAAAATTGAGTTTTTTCTTTGAGAATGTAAATCCACATAAGTTCGCCACTTGGACCGGAACGCTTTTTCGATTGGTCAATCGTTAGCTATTTCGCATCATCCATTTTCTCGTTTTTATTAAACAACCATAAAATAAAATATCAACGTCTACGGTGATTATTCAGGTCAATTCTCAAATACCAGCCGTCGATCTTTCAAGGCTAAAGTTGGAAAACTATATATATTCTTAAAATTTCAGATCTCAGACTCGAAAAAATTAAATAAATATAATTTTAATTTTAATTTTTTCTTTCAATCTTTCTCCTCCCAATAAGCATTCTCTCGCTTCGTAGTTGAGCCACCAGACGGAACTGGCACTGGCTTAGCAGATCGCCGACTCGATTTCACATTATTAAGGTTACTTTTCCTTTTTATTTTGCAATTCTCTTGCTCAAATCAGACATTTTCTGTCGTCGGCGTCGAGATATTCTGAATTTTCCCCTTTCCATCTTTCCGTATAGCATCCTGCGTGTAATTGAATTAATTTGATTAATTATTCATTCTGACGCTGATGTTTCTGTACCGATTTTTCTGAGATTGATGCCGATTTATATGGATTGAAATCATGTTCGTATTTGAGTATCTATTGGTGTAGCTCAAATCGTGTAGACTTCAATTTCAATGGGTTTTGAGCCCTATCTCTATCTCTATCAGCTGATGGTGGTTAAATGCTACTTTTGTATTTCGTGGGTAGGATGCGGGGTTTTAAAGGCGAAATTGATCTATTTGGAGAGTATACGCTAGATTACGGCTAGCTGTATGATTTTCTGGAGCTATTGTTGATATATCTTTCAACTTTTCCTACAATTATGAAGATATTGTTGATATATGTTTCTTATTTAATGCCGTGGTTACCTAAAGTTGCATGCAGTCTACAAATAATTCATGATGTGGTCAACCAAGATACTCTTGTAATCTCAAAATTTATTATTTTCTTTGTTTCTGAAATTCATTTAGCTTTCAAAGTTGGATAAGCTAATGCAAAAACTCCTTTATGATATGCTAGATTCTCTTCATTGTCCCGTTGTTATAAACTTATAACGTGGTAAGTTCTGCAGACATAGTAGAAAGTAGACTGAAGGCACAGCTGAAAAAAGGTTTCCATGGCTACTTCGGAAGAGAATAGTGCCTTGTTTCCAATTTTTATTTTGACAATAATGGCACTGCCTCTGGTGCCTTATACAATTCTTAAGCTTTGTCGTGCTGCATCGAAGAAAGCAAAGATTATACATTGCCAGTGTTCTGAATGCACCCGTTCAGGGAAGTACCGCAAGTCAATATTTAAGCGAGTAAGTTCTCTCAACGACAGTCTATAATCTGATCAAATATTAAGTGTGTTTTTTTTCAAATGTTTGTTTCGTTACATTTTGCAGATAGCAAATTTCTCAACTTACAGCAACTTAACACTAGTACTTCTTTGGATCTTCATGATCGTGTTGGTCTACTACATTAAAAATATGAGCCGGGAGGTAAATTGTGTTCAAGCTTTAGTGAGGAAAAAATTTTATATTCTGAAAGTAATTATTTTTCTGCATGCTTAAATACATCATAACCAATCTTGGAGTGAAATATAATCTTATTATAATTGCACAGATCCAAGTCTTTGAGCCATTTAGTATTCTGGGATTGGAAAATGGGGCTTCGGATGCAGATATAAAGAAGGCATACAGGAGACTTTCTATCCTATACCATCCAGATAAAAATCCGGATCCAGGTTAGGTATTTCAATTATTTAGTGTCCCATCTATTTTCTAATCTTCGGAGATCTCAGCTAATGTTTTCCTTCGCGTCTTTTACTCAGAGGCCCACAAATACTTCGTGGAGTTCATATCCAAGGCTTATCAAGCTTTGACAGATCCGATATCCCGTGAAAATTATGAAAAATATGGCCATCCAGATGGCAAGCAGGTTATTTGACAACCCCCTCTCCTTTTTGTGGGAAATGAGAAACTATCTTTGATAGATTTCAGATTTTGTGCCCTTTAGCGTTTAAACTTCTTCGTAATATGTTGGCGCAGGGGTTTCAAATGGGAATAGCACTCCCTCAATTCTTACTACATATTGATGGGGCATCTGGTGGGATACTTTTACTGTGGATTGTTGGAGTTTGTATTATCTTGCCCTTGGTAATAGCCGTTGTATATCTTTCAAGGTCGTCAAAATACACTGGAAACTATGTCATGCGTCAGACACTTTCCACATATTATTACTTCATGAAGCCTTCTTTAGCTCCAAGGTATCTTTAATCAAAAGTATTGGCCGTCATCATTTTTTAGGATAAGAAAGACTAGATAATTCAATTTAAATTGATTTTAAAGACAGCCTAATATCCAGGTAGATGATATCCATGAGCATTCTTCTTATTTGCTCTCAATTTTTTTGGTTACACATTCTTTGTTATTCCAGAATAAAATAAGACATCTTTTGTGCATTACCATATCAAAAAGGCAAAGAAAAGTCTTCTGCACTCATTCATGACGTAGATCCTATGCTTTTCTATTTTCTTAACATTATTAATAAATTTGGCTACACAGCAAAGTAATGGATGTCTTCATAAAGGCAGCTGAGTATGTGGAAATGCCAGTTCGTAGGACAGACAATGACCCCCTTCAAAAGATATTTGGACTAGTTAGGAGTGAGTTGAATCTTGACCTTAAGAACATTAAACAAGAGCAGGCAAAGTTTTGGAAGCAACATCCAGCCCTTGTTAAAGTAATTTCTGCTCGTTGCTGCTTTGTTCGGTGGCTTAAAATTTTTCTTTCTTTCTGACATTTGGAATTTATGCATACACTCATGATTTTACATATTTGCCATTCTTCATTTAGACACAATTGTTGATCCAAGCTCAATTAACTCGTGAATTTTCCAACTTGCCTCCTCCTTTGCACGGGGACTTTAAACATGTGCTGGAACTTGCTCCTCGTCTTCTTGAAGAATTAATGAAGGTGAGCTGAAGAATTCTTGTCCTAAGTTAGTTATCTGCATCTTTTGAATTTTTGCCAGCTGCATTTAGTGTTGAATCTTGTGTTGTATCATAATATCATGTATGTTGAGCATTCAACAGTACTTTCAGCTTTTGATGAAAAATTGTGAAAGGCAATTATGTGGTTGATAAGGAATGATTCTTTCCAGGAATAATGTGCTCAATCTTAATCCTAATGGTTGGAAAATATTGTTAAAGGACCGTTCTTTGACGTGGTCTTGATCCTGTCCAACTAGGCTGTCATGTAATCATATGGCATTTTGTTCTAAGATAGACTTGTAGCTCCTAATTTTCCAGTTCTAATATGCTTGATTCTCTTCTTACTTATGTGTAGATGGCACTGATCCCACGGAATGTTCAAGGACAAGGATGGCTACGTCCTGCAACTGGGGTCATTGAGCTCTCACAATGTATCATTCAGGTAAATGTAATCTGAATGGTATTGTCATCATAATTTTCTCAAATAATGCATTGGAAGTCACTTGGGTACTATCTTTTCAAGGCGTGTCTAGATCCTTCAGTACTGGTGCAGCACCCTTGCATTTTGTTTGTCAAATATGTCTCACATTCTTCTGCCGCATTAATGTATCTGGATCCGTATCATATGTTCTTCAATTCAGGCTGTTCCTCTTAGTACAAGAAAGGCCACTGGAGGATCCTCTGAAGGTATTGCACCGTTTCTACAGTTGCCACATTTTAGCGAAGTTGTTGTCAAGAAGATAGCCCGTAAGGTAAGTTAGACACAATGTAATTTTGAAGCACGAACTCAGAGTTTTTTTATTTTTTATTTTTTTTTGTTCAAGGAGGCCAGATAATGAACTATTGACTATTCTTTTTTTCATTTGTTCAATTTTCATTCCTTCCATGACTTCTTGCTATTCTAATGCGTGTTTTTTTGTTTAATTTTATTTTGAATACTTTAATACAGAAAGTGAGAGCATTTGAGGATCTTCAAAAACTGGCTCAAGAAGAGCGTGCTGAGCTGCTTACTCAGGTGGCTAGTTTCTCGCCTGCTGAAGTACAAGATGTTGAAACGGTGCTGGAAATGATGCCTTCCATTACAGTGACTGTCACATGTGAAACAGAAGGTGAAGAGGGTATACAGGAGGGCGATACTGTCACCATTCAGGCTTGGGTGACTCTCGAACGCCGTAACGGGCTGGTGGGTGCTCTCCCACATGCCCCCTTCTACCCATTTCACAAAGAAGAAAATTTCTGGTTCCTGCTTGCAGACCCAAATTCAAACAATGTTTGGTTTTATCAGAAGGTTAGTTTCATGGACGAGGCTACGGCCATAACTGCAGCTTCCAAGGCAATTGAGGAACAAATGGAGGGATCTGGAGCAAGTGTGAAGGAGACGAGTGCTGCAGTAAGAGAAGCAGTAGAGAAGGTAAAAGCTGGATCTAGACTGGTTCTAGGCAAGTTCCATGCCCCAGCTGAAGGGAACTACAATTTGACTTGTTACTGCCTGTGTGATTCTTGGATCGGTTGCGATAACAAGACAAACCTGAAATTGAAAATCTTGAAACGAACTCGGGCTGGCACCCGTGGTGGCTTCATGGCAGAAGAAGGACCAGTTATGGATGATGGTATTGAAGAGGAAGAGGAAAATGATGAAGAAGAATATGATGATTACGAGAGCGAGTACAGCGAAGACGAAGCTGATGAACCAGATGTAAAAAAGAAGGGCCCTGTTGCCAATGGAAAAGCGCATAAGCAGCAGAGTTCTAGTTCAGAAGGCTCTGGCTCTGATGATGAATGAAAAACCATTCTGTTATTTAGTGAGACAACCCCCTCCCCACCTCTCTCTCAGGGTGAATGCCCCACAGTGATAGTTCATTAGAACTTCTTTTTTTGTCTCTATATACCAGTTTAGAAGTTTTACGGCAATGAGATTGACTTTTAAAACAGAATATGCTGGAGTATCAGACTATATTTATTACCTCTTTTTTCCAAGCAATTTTTCATGACGATTTTCAATTGATTTGAAAGTAACAAACAATCGGCAATTTCAGGTCTCTAGTTCATCTAATTTTACGATTTATTTCCCAGCTTTTACCTGACTTTTTTATGTACATATTTCTCAAACAAACAGAATATTATTTTTTTTATTTCTTATATTTTGTTATTTTCATAAACTTTGAAAGTGAGTTACTTTATCAATGACAATATTTTGTCATCGACAAAGTTCGCACATTCCCAATGGAATAACCCTTCCAATCATGTCAATGACAATTTAAACCAATAATTGATACAACTCCTGGATTCATCTTGTTTATCATAAGCCTAGGTCATACGCTCGATCGAGCATTATAATATTGAAGGCTGAAATAAAGAGAATTGGCTCTATGATCTGTTCAAATTACAAAAATCTTATTAGAAGTCTACACTACAAATTGAGGGCGATTTTTCATATGAGAAATATGTATATTTACAATCGCCCATACCCCATGAAATTGTATTCAAAATCGGGTGCCTCCAACTTACTTTCATCTTCCAATATTTCATCTGGGTCTTCCCTCATTTCCTCATCTTCAAGACTAGAATCCTTAGAAACTGTTTCAGCTTCCTCCAGTAGTTTGATTGAACTGTCATCTTTTTGGTCCAGCTCACTTGAACCATTGTTGGAATTACCATATTCGTTCAGGTACTTCGCTCGTATTCTTACACGCTTTCCTTTAACGTATCGATACTCCCATTTTAGTGGAGGATATTTCTTCTTCAGCTTTTCATATTTATCAAACATACCCAACTCTTGGAAGACATTTCCTATCATAGTGACAATTTCCGTATTTGGTTGAACTCCAAGTTCTTCCATGTCAGCAAATACCTATGGACAGTCCCATTTGAATTTCAGTATCTATGGAATCCAAAATAAGTCAACTTAAAATAACCCATCGTAACTAAAAATATGCTATGCACCATGTATCATAGCCTTTAACCCCTTTTTTTTTCTCGATTAGGAGTGGGAAGGAAAACTTAGAGCTTTATTGCTGATTCAGTTGAAACTGCTTCAGTAACAATAAGCGGAGAACTGAATACCTCGAATAACTTGTCGTGCATGCCCTGGTCATAATAGAGGGATATCATTTTATGAAAGAACATCCGAGGCATGCTCTCCAGATACTGAGAAAACAATTTGTTCCAAAGCTCTTCGGCTTCATCGAGTCTTCCATCTTCAGCTAAGGCATTTAGTAATGTGAAATAGCTTCCCATTGTTCTTCCTTGGCCTTTACTTAACATCCATTTTGTCAACTACAACAATGCACCCAATTTGCTCAATTCATTTGATCGGAGACATTCTCAGGACAAAAGGGCATAATAGAAAGAACAAAAAGCATGTAAGAAATCCCATATAGGAAAAAAGTACCTGGATTATCCTCTTCCATTCTCTTTGAATCTCTAAGGTCTTCAGGGCCTTCTTTACAGTAATAAGAGGAAACTCTAGTTCCCAGGCTATGAAGGAATCAAGAGCCCCATAAACTTCCTCTTTGACGTTAGACAGTCCCTTGACCTAAATGGAAAAGTAAATACTTTTAAAATGATAACGAATAAACTGCTCGATCCTGCAAATGACTTAAGTTCAAAAATAGCACCATACCTACCAAGCGATCCCAAGAAACAAAAAAATAGATAGCATTATTGAAGGTGAGTTTAGTGTTGATTTTTGAAACAGTGAAAAACTATTTTCGTCAATTAAAAGCACTAAATGTCTGGTTATGTCGTTAGAAAGTAATTCTGAAAAACCTAAAACCACTCGATATACTTCTACAGGAAGTCTCTAAACGCATCGAATCAAGATGAAATGAAAGATTTTCTGCCATTGAATTCCAATTTGAATGTGCATAGGGGCTCCCTTCTTTTTGTGGATGGTGGGAATGGAATTGGTAAGAGAAAGGCAAGAGAGCTTACACAATCAACAAGCTTTGCTGCCTTGGATATGGTTCCAATTCTCTTTCGGGTTTTCCAAACCCGAGGATATCTCGGCCGTGGACCTTTTGCAGCGCATACCTGCAAAAAAGTCGAAAGTATTGTGTAAGAAAGGGAAAGGGAAGGTCAGAATTTGCCTCTCAACTTGTGACTCCAGATATCCAATTTCCATTTATCAGAAAACAGGACACTGTAAAATAAACCACGATAAGTATAACTCTTCACGAGTTCAGTTCTAGCTAGCAGCAAAACAATTGACGATAAGGCTTACCACTGTACTGCTTGCACTCCAGGAAAATTTAACAGATTCTATCCTTTTGGATATGACTGGAAAAGAGTAAATCAAAGTACGCATCCTGAGCCAGCAAAGGAAAACAAATATCAATCGTTTTCGATAAATTGAATTCCAAATCTCCATCTTTAGAAGCTTAGGAAGAAGAAGAAGAACCAAGCACATATCGGTATTCAAACGAAGAAAAGTACTTCGGTCTGATGCAAGCAGACTTGTTTCAACCTCTTGCACAAAGCATATCGAAATTGAAAACAATTTTCTCGATTTCTTTCCCTAACTTTCTCAGTAACCAAACACAGATGGATTGAGAAGATAGATGACGAGAAAGACAGAGTAATACCGGTTGGAAGCCGAGGAGGACGAGAGCGATGCTTGGACTGGAGAATGCGCCATTGAAGAACGAAGTAAAAATGTTTTCCATAATTCCATCTCCCATTTTCCGTTCTGTTTTCTCGATATTTTCTGTTTCCAACCAAAAACAAATATATTTTTTAATTCATTTTATTTAAGGTTAAAATGTAGTTTAGGTACCTACATAAACTTCTAACATATTTGAACTTCCTTAGTTTTAAGAAGAAATTGAATTTCCACAGCTAAATCATATAAAATTTTAAAAAGCTTTTAGACAATTGGTACAATCTATTTGATTTCACATATTTTTTTTCTTTTAATTTCAAAACTCCACAAATGTTAAAACAAATAGATATTTTTATCTATTAACAAGTTAGTTACGAGGTTGAAAAAGTTGGGATAAAATTGAGTCACAAATAATTGAATCACTCTCTATTTTTAGATGACAGGAAAAGGTTTGCTTCATTCAGTTACTAATATTTTGTATACCTTTTCTATTGTTATCAAAATTTTATTTTAAGCATTAAAAATTTATTTTAAGGACATAATTACTATATTCATGAGTTGTAATGCCTTAATATAATCATTACTATATTCATGGTGTGTGAGTGGAGCAAATGTACGTTGAGTATAATTCAACTAGTCAAAGGTACTTATTTGACAAAAAAAATCGTGAGTTTAAATTGAACCGATGTTAATTATCGTTGCCCTAGGTTTAGTGCGGGCCTACCTTTTTACTTTAAATCCACGTAATAAAAAGGAAAATCTAATGGGCTGCATATTGTGTCGGGCCCAATGGATTGTTGTCATTGGGCTTGTGCCAAAGACAATTTGACCGTGAGTAATGTAATGGCCCAGCCCAATAGATTACTGCATTGGGCTTTGCCCCGAAATCGAATGCAGAGGACGATTTGTCCGCTCGTACGGTAATGGCATATTCATCGCCGTATGGGATATTTTCCACGTGAAGCCAAGGAGAAGGGCAGGCACCTCATCCTAACGCACAATTTCTCCGCGAAAATGCCTGTGGATCTCCTACTTCAGTAGCGCGATACCAAGAAAAAAGGTGAGAGAATGATCGAAACTGCTCTTGCCGTTCGATTCCCCGCCGGTGCAAACTTCTGCTTCTCCTCCACCACTTCGTCCTGTAATTACTTCTCTCTTTTTCTGCCGCCATTACTTACTTCAGAAGATGAGCTAAACTCCTTGTGCTTCATGCTTTTGATCGAATTACACGAAAGAGGAAGTGGAAACTTTTGTTTTGATTGCTTAACTTGCTTTCTGTTGGAAGCAATGGAGCTTAAGCTTCCACAGCTTTTCTTATTTGGCGGCTTTTCCCGCATTTTATGGCTGACAAGCTGAGACTACTTTTATTCTCTGTTTTTCGAATTAAATGAAACAGGAAGAAGAAACCATTGTTTTGATTGCTTAGCTTGATTTATATTGAAAACAATGGAGCTTAAGGTTCCACTGCCTTTCTTTTTGACGTTCTTCCCCCGCATTCCATTGGTTTCCAAGCTGGGACTAATATTCTCTCTTCTTTTTTAAATTAAGCGAAAAAGGAAGAGGAAACAATTGTTTTGATTGCTTAACTTGATTTCTGTTGAAAGCATTGAAGCTTAAGATTCCACAGCCTTTCTTTTGAGTTTTACCGCATTTTGTTGGCTGCCAAGCCGAAACTAATTTTATTATCTGTTTCTGGTTGTTTGCATATACAGATCACCGTTCGGCTTGGATCTCGGAGGATGTAACTAGTATAGGCCATCCTAGCAGCTTTTGCCGGCTTTTGCATTCTTGCGCTTCCGACGTGCATTGGTACTTGAGCTTGCTCCTTTCTTTTCCTCCGTTTTTTAAATTGCTCGATGAGTTTCTTGGTGAAACGAGCGTGCGGATTCATTAATTCTAGTCCTGCCGCTGTTGAAGTTATTTCAGTTGACTGGAATTTGTGATAAACTGAATGTCGTAGAAGTCTGAATTGAACGCAAATTGATGATTAGCATATGCTTGAAGTATACAATCTACCCAGCCTATTGCAATAGCAAAGAATTCTTAATTTAATTGACGCGAATTTACTTTTAAGAAGCCACTATAAGATGTGGTCCTCATTATGGAACTGCAATAAGCAACTGCATTGTTTGAGATTTTTCTGAAAAGACTGTGTATCTGATGGTTACTCGATCACACTTAGTATGTTATGTATTATGTATATTATAATTATTCTGTAAGAAGAACCTTAACCAAATGGCTATTTTCTATTTATAAACGTCAAATTTGATCAGATTCTTGCATGTACATTGTATAATGCAATGGAAAGGACTGGAGGAGCACCACAGTTTCAGATATTAGGAAAGAATGATTAGAACACTAAAACCTGATAACTAAATCGCAGGAAAAGATGCCAAAGACTTAATAGCAGGTTCCTCCTGGGAAGGAACACTCTCAGAAGGAACGGAATTCAAGCATCAGCAGAGCCTTTGGGCTCTGCATCAGACCCTATCAAACAAAATACAAGACTGCAGTATCATCCATCGGAGGAGCTCGTGAAATCAATAACAGAGAATGCTGAGGATGTTAGACCTACTGCCGCAGAAACTACGAGAACAATCATTGAGGTATCGGTTTACACTAATGCTCTTCTTAATTTTCATACTTATCCATGATGTTTAACATGTGTGATGACTGATGCATTACTAGCAGGCAGGTTGTTTCCGTTACTGCTTTATGCTCCAAATGTTACTAGTGTAAGGGCAATAGCTTGAATTTTATATTCTTTTTCTATCATATTCTTAAGGACCACAATGCCATCAGTGACTGGAAAGCGACCCAACTACACTAATCCACATTGTGCATGAAATGAGATGTATATATAAAAATTTTGCACCAAAGTGATCATAGCTTGTAAATGACATGTACTCCTTCTCTTGAGGTTGGAGTTGAGATCTAATTACTCTACATCGGTTGGACTAAAATATATTTACTGTTTCATGTTTGTCAAATTTTTACAAATGTTGTGATAATTACTCTTATATTTGCTATCGACAATGTTTGATGGTTAAGTAGGACTAAGGAGACGCCTCCTCTCCTTGCCTGTGCATGTTTGTCTTTTGTTTTTTTGAATGAAATTTTTGTCTCTGGCTAGAAATATATATATATATATTAAAACTTGAAAAACAAAGTTGCTTTTGTAATTCTGCATTTTATATAGCTTGACATTTCTTGCAAGTTTTGATAATTAATATTTCCAATAGCAAGCCATGTTCAGGTAAATAGCAAAGCAACATTAATGTTCGCGGGTTTGATTAACGATGAAGTTCAGGAAAATATTATCTGGCCAGAACTACCTTATGTAACTGACGAACATGGAAGTATGTCCCGTATTTTAGATTTCCCACATAGACCTCAAATCCTTTCCCTCTTATTTTATTGATTGTATCATCTCTATTGCAGATATCTATTTTCAAGTGAAGAATACTGAAGAGACCATGCAAAACCTAACGTCAGAAAATAACTTTGTGGTACGGATTTTATCAATTGTACAAACATGTGTTTGGAAGACTTCCTGCAAACAAATTGTTCAAATGGATGGTGCATTTGAATGCTTCATTTCCCCTCTTCTTTTCTAAATACGATTTGATGCCTTTAATGATGCAGCAAGTCCTTGTTGGCCTTGATACCATGGAAATGATCAATGATATGGAGTTGTTTGGTCCATCAGAAGTTGATTTTGGATTCGAAGAGCTTGATGATGAGGCTACACTTGATGAAGGAGATGATGATGATGGTGATGATGATGATGATGAAGATAAGGACGACAACGATGAGGATGATACAGATGACGAATATGACACGGTCTCTATATATGAAGGAAAAAAGTATTGCTGTTGGATTCTGTTCTTTTTTTAGTATGGACTTAGAGGTTTCTCCTTTCTGCAGGACTGGGTTTCTGTCATAGAGGATGAAGATGATTCTAATGACTCTGATGAGACACTAGGAGATTGGGCAAAACTGGAGACAATGCGTTCTTCACACCCCATGTATTTTGCCAACAAGCTTTCGGAGGTAATGAAACTGGAAAAACTTGTATATCCATATACTTTGTTACCAATTTTGATCGTTATGATTTTTAGGTTGCATCAGATGATCCTATCGATTGGATGGAGCAGCCCCCAGCAACTTTGGTGATTCAAGGTGTCTTAAGACCCGCATTCAGTGAAGAGCATAGTGTTATCCAGAGACATCTATCCAGCCGTCATTCTAGTAATGGTGACATAAACGAGGCTCAGAAACATGAAGATAACCTTGAGAATCATGGTATGATTAATCATCATGATCATGAATCTAGCTCATCCAAGGATGGTTTAAACCTGGCTGATGGATTGGATGGAAATATTCCAATGAGCGAGGCCTCATTTTACCGGCTTGAGATGATAAAAATTCAGCTATTTACAGGACATGCGCATCCAGTATGTTTGATCTCTGTTTTAATTTTGCAGTTCGTCATCAGTTTCTTTTTCACATTGAAGCATGTTTTCTTGAAACGTCACAACACATCGTACCTTGTTGTGAGAATGAGTTCTTCTCTAGAAATCCGGTGGCCTCTATCCGAGCATTTACAATTTGTTATGATCTTGTATCTTTCTTGTGTTGGAAACATTGGTATTCTGCTTTTTTTAGGTAGAAAATATTTTATTTTAATGGTATTGATTTCTGTTAAAAAACCAACAATTTATCTCCTCTATCTCGTTCTGGGGCATACTGATTGGCATGGGCCTTAGGAACTATATGGATTATTTTAATCAGGATAGCACTCCCCATTTTTATCGACGGCTACGTTATTTGAGCCTAAAGATGTCTTGATGATTACTAAAAGATTGTTTAGTTGGACCTGCTTCTGGTTGCTAAGTTGCTACTGACAAATATTCATTCCTTTGCTTTCCCAGAGCAACGTTGAATTAGAAGACCTCATGAAAGCTCAACCTGATGCGATTGCACACTCAGCAGAAAAAATTATTTCTCGTTTAAGAGCAGGTGGAGAAAAGACCGCACAAGCGCTGAAGTCTCTCTGTTGGAGATGCAAGGGTATTCAGGTTGAGGTAATACATAAACCTTCGATAATCAGAAATCATTCAAATATTCATTAAAATATTTGTTTGAGTCTCTGAATTATTATTTTGCATTTTCCTAAATGATACATCTCCGAAAGGTTGTTCAGCTTATTGTATTTATTTAAATCTCTGTAGATATGCATTTTAATTAGTCATTACGTACTTTGTTTGTTTCGTATTTGACGAAGGTAACAGTTTGAACTTGGTAACAAGGGAGAATTTGTGGGAGGAGGTCATTGTAATAGGAAAAAACTTCCCTAATTCTGTTAGTAACATATAAACAAGTGGACCATGGTGGACCATGTAAGAATTATGCAAAATTAAAAAAAAATACTTATCTATACTATTGGAGGTATGAGAGAGAAGTGATAAAATATATTTCATTCTTGTATCCAATTGTTGTTATCAGAGGGAATAGAGATTTTGAATCTGCATCGGTGGCAGACTCGTAGAAAATTATTTTTAACATACTTACAGCTCTATTATTTTTCACCTTAAAATTTTCTTATTTTTTTTCTCGCATTTGTGCACAAGACATCATTCTTCTTTCAACATCTCCACCCCTATAATAATAAGAGAAGAGGAAACAAAGCAGGAGATCAAGTCTACTTTTCCTAAAAATTAAAATACGTAGACATTTTATAATTTAATCGTGTTAATGATGATTCAGATCATTGGTCTTCATTGAATAATTGCAGGAGGCAGTAATCAATGGTGTAGATTCACTTGGATTTGACATGAGGGTTTGCTCCGGAACCCAGGTCCAAACATTGCGGTTTGCATTTGGTACACGGGTAATTCAACTTTCCCTTTAGTCTCTCAAGTTACTGCTTTTTCCTCTCTTTTTCTTGTTCATCTCCTGACCCCTCTGATTGATAACTAGTAGTAAATTATTGGTAAAATAATTAGCAGATGCAATATTTTTAACATATGCAATGCAAATTTGATGTTTTGTTCATAGATATGTTGTTTGATGAATTCTCATGTTGCTTTTCTGTACTTTAAGTCGTGAAATATTTTGACGTCATTGTCATTTTTTAAAAATATATGCCCCCCGTTTATTGTATAAGTTTGGTAGATTCTTCTACAGTGCATTTAATGGTTTGCGAAAACAATTTACTGAGCTGATTAATTTAAAATAAAACTTTATTCAATTGCGACTTCGCTTTTCTGTTTACACAATCCATGTATTTTTAGCTCTTGCATGTTTTTCTGAATCACTCTCTCGGGTTTGGTTCGGTAATTATATTTTATTTCTTGAACACAAAAGGTGTTTTCATCATGGAACTGATTCTCTCAGGTGCCGATCCTTTCATACTAGACCCTCTAGTTTTTTATCAACTTTCTTTCCTTCCGAAGGGGTGGCAAAGTTTCAAATTTTAACTTTAAATATGATCTTTCAATTTTGAATATGTTTTTCGAATTCTGTTCACACACACTATATATGCATATATATATTATAACTACGAGACTCAATATTCTCAAGTGTTGATGATGTGGTGGAATATAATGAGAGTTTTATCCATATTATTGTGGTATTGAAAATTTTCCCGAGCAATTGCCCCCGCTTTGGACAATCTTATGGTTCAAATGACCTTATTTGCAGAAAAATGCACATTAGAGAGCTAACCAAATTAGTTTGACTATGCAGGCAACTTCAGAGTTCAGTGCCGAAAAACAGCTGAACGACGTGCTTTTCCCGAGAATTCACTCCAAAACTCAAAAAACGAAACAAACGCATCAAAATGAATGTTAAACATTGTAAGCCTTCTCCTGACATTACGATCTAACTATGGGTGTTTGGCTTTCTCAGGTTCCAATATTTATTATTTCAGAGCAGAATGGAAATAGGTAAATTTATTCTAAACTATCAATTCATTACATTACGAATCCGGTGATTGCAAATGAGCATTCATTTATCAGTTTTTTTTGGCAAAGGCATTCGTCGAGTATTTTCAATTGCCTCCTCCATAAGTTATCTCTTGCTGCTGTTTTATGCTTTTAGCTTCTTCCTTTCAATATGATTTCCAAGCGCTGGTTTTAGTGATTGAGCATAAGGAGAATTTTATTTTAGTGAATTTACCAATGTGGAAAAAAATCTTCTCTTATAATGTACATATTATATTAGATAGATACTTTTTTTTTTTACCGAAAAAAACAGAAAAGCAAAACAACAGAAATCAAAAATTAATTGGACTCAACTTCCGAATTAAAAAAAAAAAAAAACCCTAGATCCTCGCTGAGAACTTGAAGCAACGGAGGAACTTCTGTGAGATAGATTAGATAGACACTTCGCCATATGTTGGGGAATAAATTGTCACAAGTTGGCATAAGTGAACAGTCCGTATCTTTTTCATTTTTTATTTTTTTAAAAAGGTGAACATCCGTATCTTGAAATTCAATTTAAACCTTGTATTAAAGTCTATCTTTCACCATAATTAACTTTCGCAAACTGCTTAATATTATTTCTGGCGTGGAGCCTCAGTTATATCCCTCCAGTATAAAGTTACAATTTTGTTTTTGAATTTCAAATTACCCTTCAATTTAATTAGTTGAATTAATATGATGTGATAAATAATTAAATAGATTAACAATATAGACAAAGTGAAGTACATGCATAAGTACAAATTTTTTATCCATTTAATAATCATTTTGTTTCTGCTGCTTACTTTTTAAAAAAGTTCTTAATATGCGGATGTGCTTTTAAGAAAATTAACATACCAAAGAAAACAAACGTAATTTTAGAAAACTAAATGATTATTAAACAAGATTTTAAGGATTCAACATTTTATTTTAGTTAAACTAATTTTTTAAGAAGTGTGGAAGGAATCCACCTCGTCCCAAAGAAAAATTAAACGAGAAAAAAGGTAAAGGATCTAAACTAGTCGTCTAGATGAAATTAAACAGAAGAAAATACTGATAAAGAAAACAGGAGAAAAGAGGAACCACCTGTATAGCATTTTGTATATGCATCTTGAAGAACTCAGATGATAGTTGTTTCGTACACCAATTGTGCAGAAACAAGGTCCACCATGGCAGATCCAACGGATTTGAACACTGTAATCTCATTCCCATCCCTCCTTCCCACCACCTCCCCTTTGATCAATTCCACCAAATTCCCAACAATCTCTCTCTTCTCAATAACCCCTCTTTCAAAAGCTCCCACCAACTCCCCTGCCTCCTCCACAGCTCCCTCATTGTCCACAAAAACCCTCCCTCTCTTTATCGCCAAATCGTCACATTCCCTCATCGAATGGCTGAACGACCCCACCAAATCCAAGTGCGCCCCCGCCTTCAACTTCTCACCTGTTTAACGTCATAAAATATAACCTCAACTTTAAATCGTGGGATCAAATTAATATCCAAGTTTACAATTGAGTGTTATAAATTATATATACAAAAAAAAAAAAAAAAAAACTAATTACCTTTTACCAGAGGAATCTCTGAGTTTGTTGCACAGCACACTATATCCGCCACCGCAATCGCATCCTCCAGATTCCCACTGCTCTCGAAGCAGACTCCTTCCAACCCTGCATTCTTCTGCATCTCCTCGGCTAGTTTTTTTGCCTTTTCCTCTGTTCTGTTCCAAATAATCACTTTCTTCACGCTGGGTCTTGCAGCCAAATGAGCTTTAATCAAATGGGGCGCCAAAGCACCCGCACCCACCATAACCATCACGCTGCTATCTGGTCTGGCTAAATATTTTGCAGCTAAACCAGAGACGCAAGAGGTTCTGTAAAGAGTCAAGGCAGTGCCGTCCATGGAGGCCAGAGTTTGGCCGGTGGTGGAGCTAAAGAGCGAGTAACTTGCATGAATTGCAGGTAGGTTTATGGCGGAGTTTTGGGGGAAATGGGTGACGAGTTTGACGCCTATGTAAGGAATAGATGGAGAAGAAGACCAAGAGGGCATGAGGAGGAGAGATGAATTGGGATGAACGGCGTGGCTTTGACGCATTGGGCTGGAAATTGTGGGGGAGACGATCGGGAGAGAGGATCGGAAGTGTTCGATGAGATTTTGGTGGGAAAGGATGGAGTCCAATGCTTCTTTGGAGATAAACATGGGAGATCTGCTCGTAACGTTTGTTGTGAGATTCGTTTCGTCTTTTGGATTGTTGGGTGTGGAGGAGGCCATAGATTGAAGATCTCGGCTGGTTTCTTGGTGAATTAGAGAAGACGAGAGGACTGGCTGCGGGTAGAAAAATGGGAATTGATGAGGGAGACAAAAGAAAGACCAAGACAAGAAGGTGGAGAAATAGACCTTTCGTTTCTGTCACTTTCCTAAGAAAAAACAAAGAAAGAAAAATGGGAATTTAAGGATTTTCATTTCCACGGGATGCGTGGACCTCCAACCTGGAAAATTACTCGAAATTACTACTGTCTAACTAGCTAAATTAGCAGTGAAGAAAACAAAATTCATATCAAACTTTTTTTAATATATAAATAACTATTCAATATGACAATGTCATATTTTGAACCATGGTTCATAGCGATTGAGATGAGAATCTTGTAAGGAAAAGAGAAGAATTTGACTCTAAAATTTGAATTAGTTATTGACGATACCAAAAAGATCTGGAAGAAATCAAGAGTTCAGGTATTTATACTTACCTCTATCTCGCATCGAAAGCCTTGCTGCTCACGAGTTGGCAACACATGCACACACAAAGATGAAGGTACTTATCCATTTGGAAGGAAGCCTGGTCTGCGTTGGTGGACTCTGCGAAAAGAAGACATGCACTTCTAGGAGTTAGTTAACGCTTTCTAGTTTCTGTGCTCATTTTGTGTTCTAAAAAATAATAACAAACAATAATAATGATAATGAAGTTCAACAGTTTACTGTATGCTAAATAAGCCTGGATATTTTACTTCTTCAGAAGCACGAAAACAGGCTTAAAAGGTTAGTTTTATACAGTAAAGGAAAGAAAAAAACACATTCTAGAGAACTCTTGCAATCCTGGTTTGTGCTTGCTTCCAAAGCACAAAACTTCAACGCTACATTTAATCCTTGTCATACCATACGTTTCATGTATGGCTGTAATATCACATCCTAAACTCCACGATTTAGTTATGTTTTTCCCAGCAGATCTGCACAGAACCGACATCCTAACGAAGCAGTAGTGGGTTAATTTGCAGCCAAATATCCCAACGAGATTCGTGTTATTGGATGAACAGTTGGTCGCCTTCTTCATGCTCGAGCACCACCTACCTCATATGTCTGAAAAAGTTCAACATCGGTGCTTCCAAATGTTCCAATTCTTTCTTCTGATACCAGAGAATGCATTAGCCAGCGAGTCCTGACTTTTCGAGTTAGACTACAACTAGTCTTTTATTGAGTTTTCCACAGCCATCCACCAGTCATCATCTTCTTCGAAGTCTAATTTTCCAATGTCCTGGTAGAGAAGAAAAGGTTATTGAGTCAATAAAATGAATGATGCAATTCTAACTTTTCAGTCAACATTGTAAGCCTTTTGATCCTTCAAGACTTAAGTTATTTGTGATTTTGTGAACTAAATGAAATAGCACATATAAATTTGGGTTCCTTGTCTATGAAAGTATTGGATCTTCAAACCGGAAAATTAACTTTGCTCTAGCATAAAAAACAGCTAAAATTCTATTTGGATCAAAGTTGAGTAATAAGAAAGAGAGAATTTCTCTTAAATGGTAGCTCTTATGACTTATGTTTGACCTGACGCAGATAGATAAATCATGTAGAATCAATATAGACAAAAGAAAAAAATGCACATGTAGGTGAATTAAATCATGTTCATGAGGCTCAACCATGTTGCGTTTGTTTTCAACATCATCTGCGACCCTTATTGCTTCAAGCCACCAGGAATCCTTGACACTGCTGTCTGTAATGTTCTTCTTATCACTGAAAAGCAAAAGACAATTTTGGTCGTTGCTTAGAGATTGATAATTGATTCGATCATCATTAAACTCTGTGTCATTTAATATCTGTTCTGAATCTGTGGAAACCCATGGACTAGGAAGGGCATCAATCGGAATAGGACGCAGTGGAGATCGGTAACCTGTAGGATAAGTTCGATTAAACAATGACTACAAATCAATATTTTTCAGGAAAAAAAAAAATGAAAATTAGGTCCTATTTGAGCACCTCTACAATCTGGATCGTGACACTTCTGATAATAGGCAGCCCTCCTAAGGTCGACAACATAAATCACTGAACAACGAAAACATGGATATCAATGCTTTGCATGAAAGACGAAATAAGAGAATTCTCAGATGAAGGAAAAGAAAACAAAAGAGAGTAGATCACATTAAGGTTCAAAGAATTAGATGATGACTCAGAAAACGAGGGAAGCTAAACATGCTCAAATATAACGCACACGAGTACTTCACAAGTATACTTTTTAAGAACAAAAATTAAGGAGCAAAAGCATTTCTCGATTCAAAGGTACCATGGTTGCTTTTGTGTTCTCGACCAATTCGTTCACAGTATCTATTTCGGGACATGCTGTAGACTATTAGTCCATATTCCGAAAACCAGTACCAGCAGCGTATTTTTCCTGGAAAAGCAGCAGCTAAGTTAGTGACTAGCAAGATATACAAGCGAAAGCGATAGATATCAACAGACGTGAAATCTATATTTGAAATGAGCAAACACGCTAAATGCAAAAAAGAAAAAAACTTATCATCTCCCTTTAGTACAAAGAATTACAATTTCTCTTATACATTCGGATTTGGTTTTCCAAACACGATGTGCGAAACTTGCCTATCCCATGGGATTTCATACAGGGATGATTTAATCATCCTCTAAACTCTATTCAAATTACCTGATACACTTCCAGTGGAGGCAACTGATTCAACAAACTTATCCACAGCTGGGAATGGTGATCTTCCCATGCAAGAAGTTGCTGAAACATCAGTCATGCAACCGGTCAATGGTACTTCTTTGGCGAAACTGAAATGCCGTCCGAAATTACATTTCTCCTGCGGAAAGAGAACCTCAAAAGTAAACAAAAGCCGAATATTAAAATCACATAAAGGTACGAGAACATATGGATTTATAAGATAATTATATTGGAAAGGTATAATGCACATGTCATGTATCGTTCGAAGCGGCTTTATAATTAAACTGATACTCAGCTTGAGCTTACCTCCATTTCAAATTGCAATGTCTTTACGCAGTCCAAATCCATTTTGCAAACCAGAAGCTTCTCACATTCAGCATCAACGTTGCAGATCAAGGATGCCATGAACGTGTCTTCCTCACACTAAGATTAAATATGTACAAGGTATATAATAGGGATGCTTAGTCACAGGACACAAATAATCTGAAATTCACTAGAAGATAGGTGACTGCTAAATTGTTTTCTTTCCAACAGCAAAATCGTTTTGATTCAATGCTTTTTAGGAAGAGTGCATATATGCACCCAAAGAACACGATCACTGCACCCACCACCGAAGAAATTGTGAATTTTACCTATCCCGTATTGCTGTCCATATCTCATTTTAAAGAAAGACTCTCTTTGGGGTTGATTTCTTCAAGTCTCGCCCCTTAAGGAGAATTTTTCTAGTGACCCCTTTCTAGAGAAAGGGAAGAAAGAGAAACGGAGAACGGAGTGAAAGAAACATAGGGTAAGGTCAGGGGAAGGAGTTGGACGCTGCATGAAATGAGGAGTTTACATGCAGACGTTCAGGGAATCAGGGGTATCTGAAAATTTTATGATAAGGAGATAGAAAATTCCAAAAGAGAAAGGATGGTATCTGAAAAGGAACTCCTTGCTGTTAAACGAAACATATAAGACTGACTGGCTATGCATTCGTCTTATGATATCACCTAGAAGTTAATATGAAATTGAGAAACTTAAAATTCGATGCTCGAGTGAGAAGTACCATACCATATTTGCACGTGCATGTCTCCCCGTAGGTAGAAGCACAGAAGTCTTCCCAGCCTTTGATGAAAAAGCTAAACGAAAGCAACGATTTCTAGAATAAACTGCATTGTCCACAAACAGATGGCTAGGAGATTCAGTGGAGCTTGAATCTTTTTTGATAAACAGTTCTTCGTATCGCCCTTCCATTTTTGCACTATAAATCCTTGAACATATCTGATAACATACCGTCACCAATTAAAACATTACCAGTACGCAGTCCAGCATAAAAAGACAGCATGGTTATGGCTATTCAATTAAAATTTCGTAAACTAATAGCAAGAATTAGCATACTGTAAAAGACTCGAAACCAAACTACATCGACCATGCGCTCAGATTAGTAACCAACTTAGCTGATATCATCATAATTAAGAAGAAATTCGGAATCGAGATGTAAACATGTGAGCATTTTGCATTCTCAGGAGTTGAAAAGATGCATCTTTAAAATATCCACTTTCATGTGTAACTTTATAGGGCAGGAAACTGTTTATAAGAATAATAAACAAATATGATACCCAATCGATAGAACAAAGTAAGAGTTCAAGTGTTAATCACTTTTGCTAGCAATGTTTTAGTTCCATGCTTATTTAGTGGAGTACCTCACCAACAAATGCTCCTGCATGCGAGTTATCCTTAAATGCCATTTTTGGTATACGGATTATCAGGTGGCGAGAGAACTTCTCTAGACATTAAAATCAAATAAGAAGAATTAGCTACAAAATTATAAACATTGCTAATGGAATAATTTGCAACGTAAGATCTACGCGCATCTGCGACAACAAAAAGTTCACATATTAGATGCTAGACAATATGTGAAAGCCCTTATCATTATCATTCAACAAAGGAAAGTTACATGGAAACTACAAAATCCAAGGCCAGCTTCCCAAAATGAGATCTCCAAAGTGTACTACTAGTTGACTTTTTAGGAAAAAAAAGAACGGTGACTAGCACTTCCTCCCGAGAACGGCTTGATTTTAATGACACGTGAATTTACTTAGTGTAAGATGAAGTTGAACCATGAATTCGACAATGACATTCAATTTCAAATTGAACAAGTAGCTCCGGAATTCAAGTCTAAACAACTTTTCCAGCAGAAAATGTTGCCAGCTGTATGAGATAATCCAATAACAAGACCTTCATCCTCTTCTTTTTTATTTTTGTGGCTATAAAATTCAAAAGAACAGTTTTTCTTCCTTCTTCATATTTTTGACGGGCATCAGCTCATATCTGATCTCTCCTATTCACAATACAGAATTACAGAGCATACAAGCCTCCAAAAAAGAATAAAGAATAAATGTTATACCACAAAATTTTCAGCTATCATGTCAAACCAAAAGAAAAACATTACAAGTACCTAATTTTAGCTATTTAGGATACATTAAGACCTAACAAGTGGGTTAAAACAAATTGATAAAGCCTAGATCCAACTGCAGCAAATATACCTTCGTTCGAGGAATCGAGCTCTAGTATCCAGTCAAAGCTTCCTTGAATCGAGTACTTTTCATTTAAGGCTTCTAGAATAACTAATATCAAGGAATCAACCATTACATCTCCATTTTTTCCCGTATTGATTCTTTTACTGTACTCCAAATCAAAGTAAAGGTGACACGGAGCACCCTGAACACTTGAAATAGAACAGTGAGAATTACAGAATAGAGGAAACAGCACGTGATTCTTACGGAACTAATCACGTGATCATCACATTGATTCAAATTTGTTCAGCTCACCTCTTGAATCACTTCATAATGGTGGCGAAATTTTGAATCCATGCTTTTATACCTGAAATTAATTAAGAAAATTCAGATAAAACAATTTCAGAAGCGTTTGCAAAGTTGATGATTCTGCAAAGTAATTTTTCTCCTCGAAGTATGATTGAAATTTGATGATACCTTTGCCAGAATTCATTGTATGATGAAACTAGAAATCTCCTTTGTCCATTAAAGTGATCTTGATAACTAAAAACATGAACACCAGTGTGCTCTCTTGCAAACTTGATTGCTTCTTCTTGTCTGGGAAATGTGGCCCACACTTGCTTGCTATTCGGAAAAGGTACCAAAAATGTCAAACGGTGTCATAGCAAAGTGGAATAATGGTGAAACAGAATGAGAAAATGGGAGAGATTGGAAGAATCCTGAATATACCTTAGCTTGAATCTGGTTTGTTCAGAAAGATCGACACGAATTTCACGCAATAATTTCCACAGACTATATGGTCTCTTTGGAGGTACGCCTCTAGGTGAACCATAAAATACGATTGGCGAGAACTTCTTACAACTAGAACCTTTTGCTTCACTTGTCAAGCCAATCTGAATAGTGATAAAATAGAGTTTTGCTGAGTAACACCGAAGAACAAAAATCAAGCTGTTTCAGCCTCACCATTAGCTTCATTATACAGTTAAAATACTTTGATTATCATGTAGAGAATAACAGTCAGATCAACTCGGCCTTCCAGAAAACAACGGCTTACCTTTTCCACGGAATCTTGAACATCCGTTGCATTCTCCGGCCTTTCTTCAACTGAGGCGGAAGCAGAAATCTCAGAGTTTACTGAACACTCAGACTTCAATTTACTTTTTCTCTTCTTTATTCCTCTCACAGCAGATTCTGAATAGAAACGGAATATATAACCGCACATAATCAGAATCAGAATATACAAAAACGAAAGATATTCATGTTGATCATCATGCCACTGCAGAAATGCGTAACTTATAACATTGCTCCTATATTGAACTTCCAGTTTACAGAATCCAGTAATTTTTTACAATTATTATCATTGCATCGATATTTAAATTCAGTTTTATCTAAAAATGAGATTCGCACATTGCTTAGCAGAACACGCTCGACTGCCAATGTTGTGGAAACTGGAATCAAAATTAGAGAAACCGACTTACGAGGAGGAGAAACGCCGCACTTGAAGCATTCGAACAATCGATCGACGTCGTCCTTTACGATCGATGCCATTCTCTCCAACTTGGGCCGTTGGAAGCGAGTGAATTGCCTTGGCGTTTCGCCTTTTTCTTTTCTCCTCTTATGAAAAGAAATAATTCCGATTTGATTTCAGAGTGAACTCCAAAAAGTGGGGACATTCCATCGCGATACGAATGAAACGTATCGGTATTTTAGTTTTTTTCTTTTTTCTTTTTTCCTTCCCGCCGAAACGGCTCTTTCCCTCCTACCTTTCGAAAATCTCAATTTTGACACCGTCCTCGTAATTAGCCACGTCATGATTTTCATACAAAATGTATACTGTTAACAAAATAAAATTAATATTATTTGCATCCTGTAATTTCAAATTTATTTACTTTTACAAATTAGATACATCGATCATTACAGTTGGCCATTATTACCTAATTCTCTATGTGGTCGTGTACATATTTGATTTCCACTGGTAAGGAGTTTCATAAATGATACTTTTTCTCAGTAAGATTTCAAACGTATCGGAGCGTTGAGATTCTATCTTTTTTAGATTGTAGCAAGTAGCCAAATTTAGTATGTGGGTCCGATATTCCTGCCTTTATTATGAAACGAGGTAATTTGGTGATGGCGGTGACTGTGTTCGGCCAATCCTACTTTATAACGTGCTGATGACGAGGTGTGCTAGCGATTTCGAAATTATTATTACCTAATTTTCTATGTGCTCATGTACAAATTTGGTTTGCCAAAGTAAAGTGGCTTTTCTCGCTGAATAAATGTGTATCTTTCAAAACATATGTGAGCACTTTGACACTCAAACTAGTAAGATAAGAAGTTTGATGAAGGATAATGTATCTCAGTAGGGTTTCGAACATATCGGAGTGTTGAGATTCTTTGTCTTTCTATAAATTGTAACAAGCAGCGGAATTTGGCATGTGGGTCCGAAATTCATGTCTTTCATCATGAAATGGGCAATCTGATGATGGCGGTGACTATACTTAACAAAGCCTATCGTATGGTGCGCTAACAATGAAATGTGCTAGCGAGTTTAGAATTTCGACTTACTTGTAATAAGGTTGACCTAGATTATCCTCTAGACAGTCGACACATAGTGGGCTGATATTTTTCCCGTAGTACTATGTATATCTAATTTGACAGATAGAAAATCTTTTTTTGAAATTAAACATATTAATGGATGGATTTTCTCTTAAATAAAATATAGTCTTACTGCCATTTAAAAATGGACAAGTCTTTATATTTTTTAAATAACATATGTTTTTTATCTTTCTCTTAATTGCCTATTTGTAATAGTGGTGCGGACAAATTATTATCCTCACTGGCAAAGAACCAACCAAGTATTATTTTCGTCGATGAAACAGATCACCATGGCAAGTGTGTATTAAAGCATGTTTTTATTCATTATTTTTTTTATGAAATTTTGAATTCATACAGTTCATCTTTTATTTTCTTCTACAGAATAAAAATTAATTTAGAGGCTTCGAGAAGATCATCATCGGCGTCTCTTTCTTCTACTTCCAGTCACCAATGGAAAACTCCAGAGCTGCAATCATCCATACTTTCAGTCAGTCCAATTCATTTTGCACCTTCTTTTTCAAATGCACGACCACCAGCCATTGCTGCCGGTGCTGCTGCTACACCAATGCCTGTAAGGAATTCCCCAACAAAAATATTCAATCCCTGAGTGCACCTATCCAAAACAAAATCAAAAAGAAAAAAAACTGAAATAAATTTTTAGTGTGTTCAGAAAACATAGTAATCAGAAAATGACATGGGTCAATCAATATAAAATGCTATTGGAAAATTATCCTAAATTCTTTGCATCTAACTATTTGTTTAAGCAGTTTTCAAGGAGATCATTTCAGAACATTTTCTCAGCGGTCCAGAAGCGTCAAAGTGTTTGATAAATTGGTCCGGCAACAGCAAACACAATGCAGCATCACATGTAAAGATTTCATGTCTTGTACACTTATTCATACAATATTGTTTTATTCATGCTGTGGTTTGCTAAAACATAGAATCTCCATTGTGAACTGTCAAACAATTGTAATGTTGGCCAAACAAAGTCCTATTCCAAGAAGATTTTGGCTTCATGTTGTTCAGTATGGAGATTACTATGCATAAACTTGTTAGCATTCGCTTTCAACTTTCTCCATCAAATTCTGCTGTGGGATTGTGTCATCAGTCAATGTTACTTGATTTGCATATATTATCAAATTCAAAGCAAACATGTAAAATCGTACTGCAATTAGTACTATGAAGAATGAACTTTTTTCTCAAATTGGACACCTATAGTTTTGTTTTTCTTATTTAATATTATCCATAGGATGTAGAAATTTTATGGTTTGACTTGGACGCATCCTTCATTCTCATTATAACTCATTCTATTGTTCGTTGAACAAATGGAAGAAGAGGTGAAGAATCCTTAAGTGGAAAAGAAATGTTAACAAATTCCATTAAAAATGGAATGCATGTATAGGTTTGGTTAAAATAAGAGATATTACGTCAAAATGATAAAATTTTGTCCTCATTACCATCTTCGTACAGATGGGAAAACTTTATGTAGAACCTTCCAAATAAAAATGCTATCCTTACCTCAACCACCTATTTCTATTATTTTATAGGAAGAAAGAGAAGATAACTAATACACTAACTCATTAAGAAACCGGTACATAAAGTGAATCCCACAACATACTTTGTATTAATTGTATTTTGAATTGAATTATTGATAAGCACATCAGCAGAGTGTTACCACATCAATTTTCCATAATCTAGTTTCCACTTTCTTCTTTTTTATTCGAAGGTCATTTGGTGCTATAGCATTGTCTCTATTCAAATTGTACATATAATTTCAAAGGGCCAAGTCTCGGGGGCCAGTTTGTTTATACATGTCATAGGTTCTCTTCTTTTGTCATTTTGGTATTTGGAATTTGTCTCTGCTGATTCTGGAAGGGTCTTGGTCAGGTGGCCTTCTATCTCTGTTCTATTCTGATCGTTATAATAATATGATCTAAGCCAGTTTATAAGTACCCACAACTTTCTTGCCGTGTTTATTGTTTACCTCAAATCTCCATTGTTTTTAGGCAGTTTGTAGCAAAATTTTCGACTTCCAGGAGCTTTGTATTAACAAATAAAGAGATGGCTGCAAATGATGTTCCATGCTGTGAGCCAAGGTTCTGGATGTATCTTTTGATATGTGTAGGTTTGGTTGCTTTTGCTGGTCTTATGTCAGGCCTTACGTTAGGACTTATGTCGCTCAGCTTGGTTGATCTCGAGGTTCTTGCCAAGTCTGGCAGGCCGGACGACCGCAAAAATGCAGGTTACTTTGAAAAGCTTGCTACTCCCTTCTCCCTCTCTCCTGTTGAACAATTCATGTAATGTCTACATCAACAACTTTGTTAATTGCTCACAGTTGTTGGAGAGACAAACATTTTGCAAATTTTCAAATAAACACTGATTAAAATTGAAAACTTTAGATTTTGATGACCAGTTTGCATTTCATTTTATTCACATTTCACATTGTTTGCAGCTAAGATTCTGCCTATAGTAAAAAAACAGCACTTGCTTCTTTGCACACTCCTCATAAGCAATGCAATGGCAATGGAGGTACTGTTTCGTCCTATATTTATCAAACTCTATTTAAAGGAAAAAAAAAACTTTATATACCTTCTTTTTGGAAGATTTTAATTGCGACTTTTCATTTCTTTCCGTTCTAAGGCCCTGCCTATCTTCATTGATGCACTGCTGCCGGCTTGGGGTGCAATTGTGATATCAGTCACTCTCATACTTGCATTTGGAGAGGTAAATTTTCTGAAACAAATTAACTTTCTTCATATGATGTTGTAGTTGATAGAAAAGTTACATGTTACACACGAGGGTTGCTTCTTTTCTCCACAGATTATTCCTCAATCTATTTGTTCAAGGTATGGACTGAGTGTTGGTGCAAAGCTGTCTGTTGTTGTTCGAGTGCTTCTTGTGGTCCTCTTTCCTTTGTCTTACCCCATCAGTAAGGTAACATCATCTTATGCATATGTTTAATAATCTTGAATCTTAGAAGAAAAGCAGTTTTGGACAATCTGCATATAGTTCAACTGATTAAGATATATATCTATGATCAAAAGGTTGGAAGTTCAAACCCCCACCCCACATGTTGTTTAACTAAAAAAGATGAAAAACATTTTGGAATATGCTTAAATTGGCTAATGTGTCATAAAATTCCAACATGAACCCATTGATGTTTTGGGATGTCTCCTTCACGGCGCTCATGTGGACGTTATTTAGACAAAATATGATACATTTGACAAACATTGATAACGTGGTTAAATATAAGCAGCAGTAGAATAAGACCATTGTAATTCTAGAAATTTATTTTGGCGATTACAAACCAAAAAAAAAAGTAATTTCAAGATTTTTAGGAATACAATGAATTGAATGAAAAGATGAATATAAATAATTGCACAATCTTATTGCATTTCTACCAAAAAGAAACAATTGAAATGAGCTTCAAAGTTTGAATTGACAGTTACTGGATTGGCTTCTGGGCAAGGGGCATTCTGCACTTCTGAGAAGGGCAGAGCTCAAGACATTTGTGGATATGCATGGGAACAAGGTTGGTTCAAGATGCTTAGTCTTCAATGCTTTTGTTTTGTGGAAAACAAATTAAAAATATGTAAAAGCTTTGTATGTTTTCAAATATTTGAGCCATAATGTGTTTGAGAAACTAAGCGATGTAAGAATTCTCCATTCTATAGACCTTTCTCAATAAAAAATCATGATTTCTAAATTCTCACAAGGCCTCCTGAAATCCTTCCAAAGCTGGTTGAATAATTTTATGGATTCTGTCATCTCACCAAGTCTGACTAAATAACAAGCTAATGAATCTCATTCTTTTGCCACTGTGCTTCCTAATTAGGCAGGCAAAGGTGGAGAACTGACCCAAGAAGAGACTACCATAATCACTGGAGCTTTGGACATGACACTCAAAACTGCCAAAGATGCTATGACCCCTTTATCCAAATTGTTTTCACTGGATATAAACTCCAAACTTGATGAGTATGCCTCTACCCTTAATTATGGTTCAGTGAACCTGATGAATTTAATTTCTGACTTCTTCATTTGATTTTTATGATTAATCTAAGGAAAACTATGGAGCTGATCTTGAGAAAGGGACATAGTCGAGTGCCGATATACTCGGGACATCCAACTAATATCATTGGCATTATTTTGGTACGTTCAAAGTGTTGAAATTGTAAGGCCTAACTATCTTAAGCACCTTTTTCCGTGATAGCAGATCAACTTACTGATAAATTTTTAATGAATAAAAAAAAAAATATATATTTTTATCTGAATCGTCCTAATTTTCTTCTTGATGGGTTGTAAAAACTACCGGTACAAAATAGATGTAATGCCATAAATCTGTATTTGATTGTTTATCTGTGATTTTAATATATCTTATAGTAAGATATATCTATGTTACAAATGAAGTTTTAATTATTTTAAGTAGAGAATTTTTTGCAATGGGCAAAAGCATGATGGAGCAATGCCGCATTGGCCATGCTCAATTGATTCATCACTATTTCTCTGTGTCATCCAGTTATATAAAGAATCCCACTTTGATGCAGGTTAAAAATCTGATCAAATTTCATCCGCAGGATGAGACTCCCATCAGAAATCTCACGATCAGAAAAGTTCCAAGGTAAAATAGTTGGATGTTTAGCCTTCTTAGACTTTTAGCTTGATATTTCTGAAGAAGAATTTAAATTATAATTTGATAGTCAGTGTGGAAGTGTATGATGCCTAATAAATTGAACGAAAATTTTCGACTTCGATGCAGGGTACACGAGAACTTACCTCTCTACGACATATTGAACCAGTTCCAACAGGGACACAGTCATATGGCCGTTGTCATTAAGAGCCACAAGGAAGTCAGAGAGCCTGCAGGTTTTGTGTTTGTCCTTATATTTTTTGTCTTTATGATTTAGTAACCAGAATCATTAAAAAGACAAACTGATCCCATATCTCTGTAGATTCAACAACTGTGGATTCTAACAAACCAGAACTCGAAACCACGACACCGATAACTGAGATGGAATTAGGACATATTAAGCTGCAGATATCGAATATTTGTTCAAATGGTGATGACAATACAAATGGAAAATCAATGCCAGATTTTGATGAAGATGTTATTGGTATCATAACCCTGGAGGATGTCATGGAAGAACTTTTACAGGTTTGTTTTCTTTTTCTTGTGGATGCTTTATGAGATGCCGTGATACTGTGTTCTCTTGGCGAGATTAAACGCAAGCCAAAGATGTTGACTCTCAAATTCTTTGCTTAGATGCATTATTTGTTTACATCGTTTTGGAATGGAACCGTACTTATTAGTCTCACTTAAAATCTGAATCTTTTATTTGTCTCTGTTGGTGTTTCTGAAGGAAGAGATATTGGATGAGACTGATGAATATGTTGCTGTCCATAACAAGTAATTGCTAAATTCTTCCATTTCTTAGTTTTGTTTTACAAGTTGGAATCATATTGTAAAACAATGGTAAAAATTCCTCTGTTTCTGTGTGTGTGTGTGAAACAAACAGGCTGAAAGTTAATATGAGTGCATTAAGGAGATCAACATCAGGATCACCAGGAGGACCCCATCTGCGCTGGATATCACCAGTGGCATCCCCACTTTCTTCATACCATCACTCTCCACTTTCTTCTTCATACAATCACTCTCCAATTCCCCCACATATTCAGTCCCCATTTACACCACCACCTCTCTCTTCATCCCCAGGAAATTACTTGCAGTCTTCTACAGCTGCATCTGCAGCTGATGCCTCACCATCTTCCCATAAGGTACTCTCTCTTGTATAGATATAATATATACAGTATACATCCTTAGGGTGATACATCCTTAGGGTGAGTCGCTTTATCGATATCTAGCACGCATCCTATAGTTCAGTTTGACATGATTTGAGGGGGAAAGTGTTTTTAGCTAATTAGAAAATAGGGGCATTTGCCCCCAAATGATAATCTAGTTGGCAAGGGCTTGGAATCTAGGTCATACTGGCTTAGAGGTATCAAGTTCGAACCTTCTAGTGAGTTTGATACCAAAAATTCACGATGTCTCTCCAGTTTAGGCTTTTGGATCAGGTGCCTCTGGGTATAAGGAAACAAAACTCCGACTCCCAATTATAAAAAAAAATATTTCTCCTCTATCACTTATTTACGTCTATTCATATGCCCTACAAAATTTTCATATTTGCAAAATCTTATTCCTTGTGCTATATTTGTAAATATGGTAAAACTATTTGTCATCCATTACGGTCCTCTTCAAAAATATATTTTTTTAATTCATAAAAGTATTTTTGGAGAAAACATCTTATTATTGCTCTTCACTGCAAAGTACTACTCTCAAGATTCATATTCTTGCAATACTGATGTATCTTGATCTTGTGACTTGTATTTTCTTTTTCTTTATAGGTCTCAAGGAAATCATATGAGAAGTTGAGACAGCCAGTTGGATCATAGAACACAAAATTTATTGTTTGGTGCAATGTATCAAAAGTAAAAGAAACTCCCCATAGACATTTAACCAAAATAAAACAATCATGTCATTCTATATGCACATTTCTCTTGATTTCTAAGTCTGATTTTGGAGACGTGGGCTATTTGCAATCCGACTTAAGAAACTTTCCTGTTCCTTAAATTTGATTTTCAAAATTTCTTGTAAATTCAAATGAAGCGTGGAGAAACGAGAAAAAATCTCTCATCATATAGATGGTCATGAATATAAAAAAGAGTCCGAGAGATTTCTTAATATGAGTATAATTCAATAGATAAGACATTCGTTACATTCTGTTTGATATTTGTTAAACTAAAATAAAATTGAAGCATCAATACTAATATTGTTCATATAAGTATGGAATTTCCTATTTTCATCTCTTAAATTATAAAATAAAATATCATTTGGTTTCTAATATTTTAAATTAATAAATATATAATATATCTCACGAGTAATAAAAACACAGAGGCCAAAAAAATTAGGACTAAAATGATATTTAAAATTCAAATAAAATGAAAAATATCGTAGGATGAATGGCAAAGCGTAATTGGTACTTTGGTCCACCACAAGAAAATCAGTCGAAAATTCGATAAGATCTTCAAGAAAGTATAAAGCGGAAAAAAAAATCTAATAACTTTTAAAAAATATTTTCGACGATAAAACACCACCGTCCATATCATACAAACTTTCGGATAAGATTTCCGGCAATAAAAACTGAAGCGTATTAAAAACAAAAACAGAGCCAAACAACCAAGTCGCCATGAAAGCTCTGTTGTGTTCCTATAGGCAAGCTCTCCACCTCTCGGAGCCTCCGCCATGGAAACCGAGAAGCCGAATCAACGACTCAACAATCACGAAGAATCTCACCAATCTCTCAAGAATAGCCAGAGGCGACGTCCGAGTAAACGCCAAGGGCTTCACAGGTACTCCGGCGACGGCGAAAGAAAGAGAAGCCGCCGCAAGGAAAATTTCCGGCCAAAACAACAGCAGCAACGACGACGACGATGAAATTTCAGAGGCCGTATCCAACAGGATTATAACGAGAATTTTGGCTTTCGTCGGAGTTCCGATGGCGTTTGGTGTGGCATTGCTAAAGATTTTCGAGACGATCAAGGAGCAGAAGGTGTGGGATGTGCCGATTTGGCTACCATTTTTGACGACTTTCTTGACGTTCGGAGCTTCGACGATCGGAATCGCGTACGGCACGTTATCGGCGAGTTTGGATCCGGAGAAGGAAGGGTCGCTGTTCGGATGGGAGGAGGCGCAGAAGAATTGGGTTGAGATGTGGAAGGAGGAAGACGAAGCCAGTCGCTGACTAAACTTATGGCCTCTGTTTGGTCACGGAGATATCATATCCTGGATTAGTCTGCCCCTTGTTCCGGTATTGTAAACAAAAATGCCTAAATTGCTCTGTAATTTATAATTTTTGTTTGGTAATGGTGTTACGTTGGTCGATATCCCAATAAGTCTATTCGCAGGTCACGGAGTTATCATATCCTGGATTAGTCTGCCCCTTGTTCCGGTATTGTAAACAAAAATGCCTAAATTGCTCTGTAATTTATAATTTTTGTTTGGTAATGGTGTTACGTTGGTCGATATCCCAATAAGTCTATTCGCATTCTTTTTTTACTTTTTCTAGTAGAACATGGGTGGGGTAGTCCACCTGGAAAGGTGAAATAAAATAATACTCAAGAATCACTCAAATGCACGTCAAAACGAACTTAATTAAGTAGTAATTGACATGTACCTCAAATCAAAAGATTGTGAGTTCAAATTCCCTCTCCAACGTGTTATATTAAAATAAAAAATCATCCAAATACATTTTACGTTGAAAGGTATGTTTGTTTGTGAAATTGATGGGACCTCGTAGAAAAAGACAATGAGTTCTGTTGAAATTTTTTACGTTCTGAGGATCGATAGTGTGTATCAATCGGATTTAATTTTATGCCGATAATTTTTAAAAATCAATTAATGAGTTTTGGAGGAGTTTACTTTACATTTCACTAAAATGAGTGGGTGAATTTAGGAGAATTTAAGCATAGAATAATAATTACAACATTTGTCTAAATCTGAGTTAAATTTCATAAAAGTGAGAATTTAGTAGAAATTTGATAAATTTAGAGATACCAATTGATGTTTTTTTAGTTGGTACATCATTGAGATTGGGATTTCAATATTTTTTTATATTGAAATTTTAATCTTGGCCAATTAGTGGTCAGAAATATCAATTTCATGGAAATATCAATAAAATATCGATGGATATTTATGTAAAAATTAAAAAAATCGTAAAAAATATTTAAATTAACAAATAAACATTTTTCTATTTCTAAATTAGTTAAAAATAACTATAATATATATATATATATATATATATATATTAGTGATATTTTGGTGATATCTTTTATATTTTATCGATTTTCTTATATTATGATGTAAATGTCGATTTACCCCTCATAAATAAGTCAAAATATTATTTTGATCCTTCTCATTTTGGTTTGAGTTCATTTTGATTTTCTACTCTAAAAATATGTAATTTAATTCTTACCAAGTAAAAGATGTTTCATTTTGGCCCCTCCTATTAGTCTACTATTAAATAGATAAAGGATTGTTTAGTTGAATATCATTATATTATTAAAATTACGGACTCTCCGCATTACTAACGGAATTTTAATGCAGAGACTTTTTAGAATTA